GAAACCTGCAGCTGTTTAGATGCTACCTGGTCGCAAGCATCTTAAAATGATGCTCCGTTCGTCGGTCGGCGTGAAGAAGGGGCGATTTTTCGGTGAAATGCAGTCATTTCTTCTGAAAGATGGCTCTTGTATAATGCAATAGTATGTAAATGCAACTCATGTGCCCCGGGCGAGTCGTAAGTCATTCGTCAAAATGCCGATCCGACAGGAGGCTGCGCTGATGATCTTGCCCCACATAGATATCGTTAGACACATCATGTGCGTATTACTGCGCCAGAGCTCCTCTATCAGAACCAATCATACCTACATGACCAAAGCAGCGTTGCTGTCAGAGCGACCCCATTCCCTTCCGACCTCCATTCATGCCCACATACAAACGCGACTAAAGTGCTTGCTGGTGGCGGGGAGCCGCGTGAATCCGTTGTCCCTCCTCCGTATCAAACGAGCTCGTTGCGTTTTCCGGTCCAATTGAGCAGGGACAGAGGACACCTGGCGACCCGCGAGCCGGCCTGCATAGCGGAGGCCTAACAAGCAACGAACGGCGAGGGGGAGGGGGCGGGGGAGCGACGAGGGCGGCAGGCGCGCGAAGCATTTTACGCCCCGTCGACGCCGCGCAGCCTCAAAGGCGGACAATGCGCCAGAAGCGCCGCGGCGCGTAATAAGCGCGCATTGATTGCCAACCGCGTGTGTCGACGGCCGTGTACGGGCGCTGCAGGATCGGACGAGGCAGTACTGGAGATACGGCAGGATCTGGCCGGGAATTGCCGGAGACACGGCGGATGGGGCGGAGCAGCGTCGGAAATACAGCAGGAAATGGCGGGGCGGTGCCAGAGACACGGCGAATGGGCCGGTGCAGTGCCGGAGACACGGCGGGATCTGGCGGGGCAGTGCCGAAGACGCGGCGAATGGAGAGGCGCAGTACTAGAGCACGGCAGAATCTGCGGGGCATTGGAGACACGGCGGGATCTGGCGGGGCGGTACCGGAGACACGGCGGATAGGGCGGGGCAGTGCCGGAGACACGGCGGGATCTGGCGGGGCAGTGCCGAAGACGCGGCGAATGGAGAGGCGCGGTACTAGAGCACGGCGGAATCTGGCGGGGCATTGTCGGAGACGCGGTGAATGGAGCAGTGCAGTGCCGGAGACACGGCGGGATCTGGCGGGGCAGTGCCGAAGACGCGGCGAATGGAGAGGCGCAGTACTAGAGCACGGCAGAATCTGGCGGGGCATTGGAGACACGGCGGGATCTGGCGGGGCGGTACCGGAGACACGGCGGATAGGGCGGGGCAGTGCCGGAGACACGGCGGGATCTGGCGGGGCAGTGCCGAAGACGCGGCGAATGGAGAGGCGCAGTACTAGAGCACGGCGGAATCTGGCGTGGCATTGTCGGAGACGCGGTGAATGGAGCAGTGCAGTGCCGGAGACACAATGGATAGGGTGGCGCAGTGCCGGAGACACGGCGGATAGGGCGGGGCAGCGCCGGAGACACGACGTAATCTGGTGGGGCAGTACCGGAGACACGGCGGATAGGGCGGGGCAGTGCCGGAGACACGGCGGGATCTGGCGGGGCAGTGCCGAAGACGCGGCGAATGGAGAGGCGCAGTACTAGAGCACGGCGGAATCTGGCGTGGCATTGTCGGAGACGCGGTGAATGGAGCAGTGCAGTGCCGGAGACACAATGGATAGGGTGGCGCAGTGCCGGAGACACGGCGGATAGGGCGGGGCAGCGCCGGAGACACGACGTAATCTGGTGGGGCAGTACCGGAGACACGGCGGATAGGGCGGGACAGTGCCGGAGACACGACGGGGTCTGGCGGGGCAGTACCGGAGACACGGCCGATAGGGCGGGCAGTGCCGGAGACACGGCGAATGGGGAGACGCAGTGCCGGGGACGCCGATTCTGTGCAGCGTTGGGGCAAGTGCTCTGTTGGCCTAGATGAAATATAACAAGGGTCGTTTGGTCGTAGGATCGGCCAGGAGCAAAAAAGTGTCTCTTCTTTCACCGACGAAATTTGAGGCTGCCTAAATTGCCTTTTGAAGCGAGATCCATTAGAAACTGTTGCACAGATAAGACAATAGTACTAGTTTCATTCCTCGGAGAAAAGCCAGGAGGATGGGATATAGATGGGTTGATGTTTCCACAACATTCCTTTCTCGAAACAGCAGCAGAAGTAAATTCAAAATTGCCTGCCGATGATCCCGTCGATTTTTTTTGCTGTTTTTGTTGTTTGGAAACAGCGAGCTACGGTTTTTACAGTACACCAACATTCAGCGGATTAAACAGGGAACAATGACCATCCATTACTACGATACAATGCATGTCTAACTAAGGATTAGAATACCCGAAAATGCGTTTGAGATTTGATACATCGTTCATTTGATATATAATAAACACCTGCAAGACGCTAAAAATGAAAGAGGCAATACTCCTTTCGATGACCATTTTTGTTTTGGCAAAACACGCTCAGGCTGAAATCCAGGGAGGTATGCACTGTATGCCCGTTTTAAAACTCAAAGTCATCTACAGAGGACAGAATCACCCAAACAGGAAAATAAGTGAATCTATTCTTTAAAAAGTCGACGAACAACCCTTAACGTACAGGGGTCATCATGGCCGACTGTGCGAACGTGATATGTGTCTGGATATGTCATGTGTGCTACCTTAAAACCGTCTACATATATAAGTGATGCCTGACACGTGATGCGCGATGCCGGTTTAATTGAAATCGCTCGCATGGATAATTGATGCGCGATGTGTGATGCCTGTTTACTTGAACCCGCTTGCATGTTTGAATGAAGCGTGATGCGTGATGCCTGTTGAATTAAATTTGTTTGTATGTACCCGTATTTTCGCGATTCTAATTCTTATTTAGACATGCACTGTACCGTGGTAGTAGCTGGCCATTGCTCCTTGTTTAGCATGCGCCCGGGTGACGACTAGATACCCTTTGCTCGGGTGGGGGCGAGGGTGGGGGGTCAGTTTAACCCGCAGAGATCTCGGGAACTAAGAAAGCTAGAAATACCAAATTTACAGGGTGCGTTGAACTATACATGAACTCACTTAGGTCAAATTTTCAGCTTCCTAGGTCATGACCTTCGGGTCAAACAAGGTCAAACAAGGTCAAGTTCCAGGTTGGTCTCCAAAGTGCCCCAGAACCTTGATAACGTTTCTACGGCTAGCCACGGCTCAGGTATCCACAAGCAACAGTCCTCCTAGATCGGCAGGGTTTTTGAACGCTGTTGCATTAAAAAGCTGCGATTAGCTACGTTCTTCGAGACAGGCAGCTTCTCACGACATGAACACAACCAACAGCAGACCATAGCCTTGCACCGACCACACCAATGCACACCAATGTCTCACCACGTGACGAGCGTGTGATGACCACATCAACGCATCACCGCGTGACGAGCGTTTGAGCCCACCTGCCTCAAATGGCACGACGCTCTAAAACGCTGCGTAGCAAACTGATCACGTTCGTCGCAAGATACTGTGGCCAGCCACCATTCGAACGACTAGTAAGAGGCCTAGGTATTTTGTATCTTAATCCTGTTTAGTATATGACGCGAATCTTGACTGAACAATATGTGAAAAACATTGACCTGAGGGACATTGGAAAAGCACTGCGACACCCCTGATTGTGACACCAGCACTGATATGGTATAGATTGTAGTGTATTTCTGGCACCTGCTAAAGACTATTCTGATTAAAGCTACCATATTTGGTAACATCTTGTGCTCATAGCGAAACGGCAACGTCTCAACATGTTTTGTACACATGCTTACGCTGCCAGTGTTAACGGGCGCAGACCAATACTAAGCTTTGAGTTTTGTCTAGCTGGGATAGTAGGTTATAATATGGGCTGCTCTGTTGAAATTTATTTGCATTTTCACAATTTTGTCACAAATTGGTTCGCAAAAGTGTCAGGTTTTGCCGTCGATCATATCCGGCAAACAGAAGCTGGGGCAGTGGTGGTGCTGGGCAAATTTGCTCGAGCAAATTTCGTTATGCAGTTCTGTTTTGGCCCTTTCTCGTGGCGCATGTTATCTTCAGGCGCAGTGGTCCTGCCCCACCGTTATCGAATCTCCTCCATCCCATATTCATCTGTTCTTGCATAATTGCCCATGAGTTTAAGTTGTTTATTTGTATTCACATTCTCGTTTATGGCGCTATCCTTAAGTTATTCGGTTACAAGCATTGTCTCCGTAACAGCCAGTACCCACGTTCACTTCTTGTATTACGTAGCACACAACATTATTCATGCTTGAACATCAAACATTGTTATCCTCTTTCTTGCTCTACACTGCATCTTCGCGACGCTCCGCTTGTCCGAGGCAGGCTGCATGCACCAGCCGCACGTAGGCCGAGAGGCCCCCTGTTAAGTGTATCGGACCCCCCCCCCTTTCGTGTGTGCGCGGGCTAAGACTTGGTGGTTGGGCTTCAGACGCATGTTGTCCCACCCCGGTGTAATCCATTCCCCTCCCGTAGCCCTTACGTGATCACTACTGGCCGAAAGGGCCTGATACAAATAACCAAATCTGGTTTGAATCTTACGCTGTCTGCACAGCATTGATCGAGAGCTAATGGAGGGCTGTTATATTTGGAAACTGTGCTCACGAAAGCCAAGCGTGAGCGACATGACGATTATACTCCCCTTGGCCTTGAACGCCGCGTGACTAATGTGGTGGCAATATTCGAATGGTATTTCCATGGTGTCATGCACATCTAAGTGACCTTGAAACAACATGAACAAAATAGTCTGCCCATCTTCGCGGGCTTTTAGCTCAGAAACTAGAGGTTCTTAGGTCTTGAGAAGGGCAGGGCTGTGAACCGCATAAACACACAACCGCACAAAACCCCGGACAAATGTGAAATACTCTTTAACACATAAAGAAACCTTTATCATGAATACAAATAACAAGGAATAGGTGATGTACCGTCTCAGCCTCGAGTTACACTGCAATTGTCATGATAGATTTTCCCTGATATAATCTCGTCCGACAGTGCTTGGAGCCTGATACTAGAAGCAAGACGTTGAAGCAACCACAAAACGCCAAGCTGATAGATATTCGCACCATGCTTCACATTGCCACCGACCTAGAAAATCAGGATGGTAAGTGACACCAAACGGCAAACAAAGCTGCCCTCCATATTGCAAGTCTCCCTCTCCCTCTGTCTCCTTTTCCATATATTGACATAATCTCCATTCCCTTTTTTCTTTCTTCCTTTCTCTCTCTCTCTCTCTCTCTCTCTCTCTCTCTCTCTCTCTCTCTTCTCTCTCTCCTCTCTCTCTCTCTCCCTCCTCTCTCTCTCTCTCTCTCTCCTTCTCTCTCCTCTCTCTCTCTCCCTCTCTCTCCTCTCTCTCTCTCTTCTCCTCCTCTCTCTCTCTCTCTCTCTTCTCTCTCTCTCTCCCTCTCCCTCTCCTCTCTCTCTCTCTCTCTCTCTCTCTCTCTCTCTCTCTCTCCCCCTCCCTCTCCCTCTTCCTCTCTCTCTTTTCCTCTCTCTCCCTGTCCCTCTATCTCTCTTTATTTCTCTCCGTATCTCCCTCTCTCTCCCTCTCTCTCTCCCTCTCGCGCGCGCGCATGTGCCCCCTCTCTGTCTAGCCTCTCTTTCCTTGTTCTTTCGTTCTCCTCTTTGTCTTTGAGTGTGATCAAAGGTATCATGTTTTTGGGAATCAGTGCAACGTAAATGTCAAAGGCCAACTTGACCTATTACTTAAAACCATTGCCAAGACCTTGTTACATGGACCCTGATAAAGGGGGGGGGGGGGGTAATGCGCCCTCCCTAGAATTTCAGGATATCGCTCCGGCATGTTGCACAATTGCGCCCAAATTTTCTGCGGACTATTGGAAATTCATTTCACGTGTTTCGACACCAAAATCACGTTCTTAACTTTTTAGGTTTTGGGGAAACACTGCACGGCGATCCACGGCCCGAGCGGGCGGGTGGGCGGCGACTGACGATGCCGCGGAACGCGCACGACGGACTGATGTTACATTAACGGAGTCATATATCATAAGTGTATGCCCAAAACACATACAAAAACACACGCACTTTTAGCATTGCACGAAGAATTGAGCGAGGTGCGGCAACACAAGCCTAAATGTCTGTTTAGGTTCGTGCCGCCACAAGGCATGTTTTCGCCTGAAAATATTTTGTATAAGTAAAATGTGCATATTTCTGGAAAATTTGGCCTTTATGCCTCGCATAATGGGGTTAGTTGTTAACCTGACACCATACAAGGTAATACTAATCGCGAGATGTTGTGGAGACCAACCCAATGGTAGTTTTTACTAAGGGCTTTAATAAGCTTCATTAGTTTGAAAATGCCATGTTTGGGGGTTGCATCAACGGCCCTCCCCCGAATCTGTCTGCGTTGTGATAACGGCGAATTAGGGCGAGGGTTAAGCTGTTTAATTTTATTTATCTTTCTTCTTGCAGTATGCACGGCGACTTCCACTTTTTTGAAAAGCTGTCTGCTATGCAAGGGGGAAAAAGCCGCCGATTTACAAGATTAGGTCGGTGATAAAAACGAACACTTGTACGAGCTATTTTGGGACAAAATTGCAAAAATGGAAGCAAATAATAACAGACCATCCCAGCTAGGCGAAACCAAAAGCTTAAACCGCCGGCGCCATTCCAGGGATCTGGCAACACTCCATGACTGACGTCATAGCCAACTGCAGCGCCGCCTGGCAGCCGCCGCCCTGCCACCTGGCGGCGGAGGCTGGAGGCGGTGGTCAGGCGCCGCGCCGACTCGTGGAGAGCGCCGTGCCGACCGCCCCGGCGCCACTAGCGCCGCTCGGCGGCGACGAGCCCGCACTACAGACGGGCTACGACGCCTGCTACCATGCTGCAACGGGACTTAGTCCGCCGCCAGGCCTGGCCCCAATGCTCTGTCAGGAGGCAGGGACCGAAGGTGAGCAGCGCACGGCCAGAGACAGCCGCGACTCCATCCGGCTATACTCGGTAGGCTCTGTCAGCTGGGCAGGACTTAGGCCTGGCGCATGTATGGCTCGGTTACAATTTCACCGCACTCATTCACCTTTACTCTTGCACCCCCGTGGCACCCAGTGCATCCACAGTACCTGCATGCATCAGCTATGCGTGACCTTAGGAGCCCCCTGGAAGGAGCCCTGTCGGAGCGAACCCAGTTGCCTGTGCATTAGACGCAACTAGTTCTGAAGTTTCACTGGACTATGTTTTTGAAAGTTGTTCCAAAGGCAAGGCACTCCTTTTGCGCCGCTGTAATGCTCTGACGCCTGCCGCCGGTGGCCCATCGCTGGCAGTCGGCGGGCACGCACCGGCAGCGTCGACAGCTGACTGCGCGACGGCGGCGCCCGAGCTGCGCCTGCAGCCACCGCCTCGGCTGCGCTCGCACAGCACCCCGCTGACACTACGCTGGCTGCGCGACAACTACGAGCTGCGCGAAGGCGTCTGCATCCCGCGCAGTGTGCTTTTCCAGCACTACACCGTCTGCTGCTACGAGAACGGCATGGTGCCTGTCAACGCCGCCAGCTTTGGCAAGGTAAAGCGGCAGCGGGTCATAGCTGGACGGATATATATATATATATATATATATATATATATATATATATATATATATATATATAAGCCATATGTGTGGAGTGACGTGTGACCCAAGGACACTAATAATTGAAATCCGCTTCCCACCATAGTGATTCGTCTTAAGCAACTCGCCACTTGCCGCGAGGACTGCCCCGCCAGGGCGCGTGGGTAAAAGCGACCCATCGTACAACAGAGCACTGCGGCACAGCCTATGGCCGACGGATATTGTGTTGATGCCGCGAAGGGCGTTCCGTTGCCCGTTCGGAGCAGCGGTCAACTAAGCGCGTGCTCCGGTTGGAGCAGCGGCGAGGACCTGACTGCGCCGGCTTCCGCCGCCACAGATTGTGCGCCAGGAGTACCCACGTCTCACGACACGACGGCTGGGCACGCGCGGTAAATCGCGCTACCACTACTACGGCCTTGCCGTCGCCTGCTCGTCACGCTTCTACAGTCCGCTGTACGCCAAACAACACGCCGGGTAAGCAGCAAGCACGGCTGGGCCTCCTGTAGCTTGCCGTGCCAGGGGCGCAGTCGTAGGAAGGGCTGGGGGGCTTCCTCCTTAGGCCCGGATTTTTCGCTTTTTTCGTCATAGATTGCTTCCGACAGAAAGGTAATGATATGTACCCGCCAAGTTCCGAGCCCTCCCTTAAGGACATCCTGGCTGCGCCCCTGTGCAGCGTGACAGCGACCGACAGATGCCGGTGAAAAATGTGAGAAATTGGAGTGCCCGACCGGGCATCCTCAAACTTGCCCGGCACAACAGATATTGGACGTCATGCCCCGTGTCAACGGGTACACCCGTGACCAGAACAGACAAGGAAATGCGCTCAGTAGCGCTGTGACGTTGATTTATGTCTTAAGGTAACGTTTAAGTCATCACGCGCCTCAACTTGCCCAGTCGACGTCGTTACTTAGCGTGAAGTAAGTTAGAATAGTGCTGCTCAACAGAGGCTTACTTTGTACATGAATTTTGCACGCGCAAATTCGTTTAGTACGAATATGCCAATTTGCATGTTACAATTATGTAGTAAAATGAAGATTATATAGCGGACTACGATATGCAATGCCACAATAACGGTATCCCTGATAACCAATGATGCATTCCGTCCCACTGCTGGAAAATGCAAGATAAGCGCGCGGATGCGCGTCACACATATTTTCATACGATTATCATACACACACAGTCTATCAAGTGCATGTAGCGTCTATTTGCGGGCAGACTTAAGGAAGGATTTGACTTGGAGAAATTGAGAGCATAAGCGATGATAAGCAGTCATAGAATTTGTTGGCGATGTATGCTATTGGACAAAGGGCATATCTGGTGCCTGGGATTTTTTGTTTACCGCCGTGCAAACTATTGAGGAAGAAAACAATAGTCCCCGAGGCGAACAAACGATTACTGATAAGCCTGGATGTCCTTTAATTCAAACAAACCATTAACACTTTGTTCCTTTCCATTGGAATAGCGCGGGCCTTCTTGTCTCCAAGAGTCGATAAACTTTATTATCCGGCGCCCGTCTGTAAATATGAATTAACATATTTCTATCACCATTATATGGTCTGTCCCCCACTGTTCCAGAGCAAGGCCACAGAGTGCCGCAATCCCACTTTCCATTTCTTTGCAGCATGAAGGTGAAAAAGAGATCGACGAAAACTTTCAGCGAGGAGGTAAGCATGAGTGTCATCTTTGTAGAGCGCGTGAGTGAACTGATATCCAAGAATGCATTCCAGTATTCGTCACGCTGTCCACCACCAGCCGTCTATAAACACAGGCATGAGTAACGCAGCCTTCCGATTCTTGAGCATGCAACAAATAAATGTACTTTCCGAGTTGAGAACATTATGTTTTTGCACCTTGCCGAAGCTCTAGATGATTCGATTCGTAATGTTAATGTCATCTCATATTACTACATTTAACTGCGACGAATATGGCACGTGTAGCTGTAGCATGCAGAAATGCGATGCTGTGCTGTAATACGTTAGATGCTATAATGTGCTGCGGTGCACCATGCGATGCACGCAGTGTTAGCACGCACTTAAGGATTCCGCCATACTTAATGTGACTGAGTCGTAAGTTTAAGTGCTTGGACTTACCCAATCCAGCACTTGGCTGTGATTCTTTTAAAGTCGCCCAAAATTTACGTTTCCAAGAAGCAGTTGTTCACTCGAACATGTCCCAAATGTTTGAAATGTTTCCAATTTTGTGCTTTGTCTTCCGCCCAGCGCTATCAACAAAACAATCCCATAATGAAAGTAGGCAGCACTACTGCGTACCACAGGGCTAGGACCGAGAACAAAACTTCTCAGAACTATTGACGCGTAAATAAAATCCATTCGGCAGGGATAAAGATACGGAACGAATATGGAAGTATGCTGTAGACTGGGCTAATCCCCCAATCATTTGCCATTTTGCCCTTGTTAGAAGCTTGCGTGACGGTACATTTTTAAGAAATGCGCAATGAAGGGGTAACGTTGTTATTCTATACGGTGGCTACCAATGACACTGAGAGTTCCTACCGTCTGCATTTGATATGTTAAACATTGCTTGAAGACAAATAAAAGTCGATTGACTTTCATCGCCTATGTTTACCGACCCCACTGCGGCCCACCCAACCTCCATAGTGCAGCTGTGGCCTTTATGGTGCAGTCATGGCCTCACTGGTGCGGTCGTGGTTTCCGCGGTATAGTCGTCTGTCTCCATGTGCACCATGGAGGGAGCCGTGGCCTCCATGGGGCAGTCGTGACCTCCATGGTGCAGTCATGGCCTCCACCGTGGAGTTGTGACCTCCATGGTGCATTCGTGGGCTCCATGGTGCAGTCGTGGCCTCCATGGTGCGGTCGTGGCCGCCATGGTGCAGTCGTGGCCTCCATGGTGCAGTTGTGGCCTCGATGGTGCAGTTGTGGCCTCGATGGTGCAGTTGTGGCCTCGATGGTGCAGTTGTGGCCTCTATGGTGCAATTGTGGCCTCGATGGCGCAGTTGTGGCCTCTATGGTGCAGTTGTGGCCCTCGATGGTGCAGTCGTGGCCTTTATGGTGCAGTCGTCAGCTGTGACTCGCGGGCTTAAGACCCTCGGCGTGGCCGTCCAACAGAAGCCGGCGCCGCGTCCAGCCCGGGTGGCGCTGCCCGAGTTCCCGTCGGTCAGCAGGATCGCCTGGCGCGAGCCGGCTGTGCAGCGGGCTACACTGCACCGCTTCCTCGTCATGTACCGTACCCACTGTCAGCGCCTGCTCGACCTGGTGGCTGCCGGCGACTACGGCGACGTAAGGGCGACTGCATATATAATAATAACACACGCAACGTCAGCGGGCTGTTGGAATGGCACACCAAAGTACATACACCACTCGATCGGAGGAAGCTCATAAAGCGGTCCTTGGTCTGACCTGCAAACATGCTGTTACTTAACGAGGCGTTAGCAGAAGCTGAGAGAGGGCTACAAATGAGCAACTGAATTTCATGAAGAGTTGCGTTTTCAAAAATCATGTTAATGTGATTAACTGCGTGCGGAACATCAACATGTTTAAAGCGTTTCCATGTGGTTCGTCATAACATGTAAACGTTACTACATCGCCATGAAGCGGACACGTTACTAACCAGCAGTGCCTTAGCTTTCTTACCCCGTCACTAACTCACCGCAGACGCCTATACATGTTTGCACCTAACCTGTAACTGAGCTACCAGGAGCACCAGCCCATAGAATTCGCAGTCCTGGCTCATCCGATGCAAGGCAACTGAGCCAGAGCAGGCACGGCTCGGCCGCGAAACACTGTCCTGCGGTGTCCTGCCCGAACCGCTGCCCTGTCAGCTGTCACACGGGCCTGTCCCCCCCCCCTCCCCACCCGCAGCCTCGCTGGCCGGCCTCTGACAGGCGCCTGCCTGCCCCGGGCAGGTGCAGGGCACGGTGACGCTCTTCTGGCAGGGCATGCCGCAGCACGTGCGCGGCCTGCTGCGTCACGACGCCATGGTGCAGGTGGTGGCCAGCTGCGACGGCATCCTGTACGACACGCTGACCGAGCTGCTGCTGCCGTCCGATAGTCAGGTCAGTCAGCCGGCAGAGCCGCGCTCTGCCCTCAGGCGTGGGGCCGACGCGTCAGGGAGGCGGGGATGCCCTCCAAGTACGGGACAGTGAGAGGAAGAGAGGTAGGGTTGGTGGTGGCTTAGTTGGGGCGAGTCTGGGACAGAGGAACGGAGGTCACCACTTTTTCACAGACGGGAAGGGGGGAGAGGGGCGACGAAGGAGGAGTAGAGGGAGTAGAGTAGATATTCACGTGGAAGAGGCGGCGCAACTCACTGAATCTGACTGCCCGAACGGCTGAGCCGGCATTTTAGTGTACCTACACCAGTCAGTGTGTAACAAAATCAGCGTGTACAAAGTGCGTGGAACAGCTGCTGACCCACGGGCTGCAGCGTGAGCTCCGGCGGTGTCCAAGATGTCGGGCTTCGCCAGTTCTGTGAGCGTGAGCCTTTGCTTTGTGCAGCGGGGATTGCAAGGTGTATCAGGCAGCACTGCGTTCCAGCCGTCGGTGGAGCGGTCTCTGGGAGCGGCCGCGTTCGGTCTGCAGCTGCACGGCTGGCTGGCCGCCTGTCTCGCGCACACTCCGTCCCAGCTGCAGCAGGCCAAACTGGACGGTGAGGTGTGGACGGCGCCCCAAGGTGTGAGCTCGCACCAGGGGACCACGCCGGCTGGTGGGCCCGCAGCGCCGCCTCTCGGCACGGCCGCGGCGCAGCACGTGTAGAAAAAACTAGGATGACAGCTTAACCCCCTTTGTTGGCGAGGAGGGGGTGATAACCGTAAACTTCTGGAGATCGCAGTGGACTAAATATTTATTTTAGAGAATTGGTATGCATGCAGTTGCAGAGAGATGGTATGTATGCACGTGGTTAAGCTAGAAAATAGTTTAACCTGTTTTATTTACATTGGCGTAGATTTTGCTCTGGCTAGATCATTTGGATGAAGGATTTAAACTTTGCCTACCATCGGGGCGTGAATGCACAAAACATACGTTCTGTTAGCTGCCGTGGGAAATGTTGAAGGTTTTTTATCCACTTGGCTGTATTCAGCTGACAATATTTAAAGCGCATTACCTCCAAAGCGAGGGTGCCGCGCTAGGCTGCAATGCTATTACTGAAAGCGTTTGTGCACAGCTGCGAAGGGACCGATCTACCGTGCTATACGGCCCCGGTCTGCATTATCTCCTCGCTATAGTGATAGTATCAATTTTGCTAACATCTATTCCGCATCAATGGATAAAATAGGCTATGTATATTGCAGAGCACCATGCATGAATGTCTTCTGTCACGATTCTTTCCCAATTCTCTTCACGCTCTTCAGTCTGAAGAGTCCTGCTGTTTGCTTAAGGCATTTTTCACCGCAAGCTCCTGGCACGGCCGACCGATAAACGTAACGTCGCTACACTTGGCGATTGGCTGACTGTCGTGATGATCCTGCTCTGTGGCTAGCAGACATTCATCATGCTGATCATCGTCGAGTCGTTCATTGATGGGAAGCAAAACACTAGCACCCCTATCTCTGGACCTTCATATGGCGCCCTGTATATCACGCCGCAAAATGCTCCCGCTATGCGATGGAATTGGTCGTCGGCCAGTCGGGTCCGTCCCTCTCCGACCACTTTCACTGATCATGTGCTATACAATGTGCAGTGTCGAGCATGCGACGCCGAGTCTGTCAGCTTTCTATACAGTGTCTGATAACCACCACGCCCGGTCCGGAGAGCCGCCACGCCCGGTCTGGAGAGCCACCACGCCCGGTCCGGAGAGCCGCCACGCCCGGTCCGGAGAGCCGCCACGCCCGGTCCGGAGAGCCACCACGCCCGGTCCGGAGATCCACCACGCCCGGTCGGCCTCACAGTCTGACGTGCGTGTGCTGCCCGCAGGCTGGGCGCAGGTGCTGCAGCGGGTGCCGGCGCCGTGTCAGGCGCAGGCTGACGTGCGTTCGCCGTCCGCAGGGTGCGCGGAGATGGCGCAGGTGCTGCAGCGGCTGCCGGCGCTGTGTCAGGCGCAGCACGCCTGTCTGTCCCTGCTGCGGGACGGGCCAACGCTGGCTCGCCTACAGGCGGACTGGCGAGCGGTCGACCTGTTCAAGGTGGTGCAGCTGGCGCTGGCCGAGGCACCGCACGCCGACTTCCACTGTCTCACCAACGGTGCGAGCTGGTCTGGTGACGCTGTGAACAGACCTGCGCTGCCTGATTGGCCAGGAGAGGCAGGGGTGTTTTTTGGGTGCTCAGGTGGCGTGGGGAGGCAATTATTACTGTCCTATTGGTCAGGCTGCTCGTAGGGCGGACCATAATCCCTGGGTGATCGCGCGGCAAGTCGGAACAGAGTTGTCCTGTCGGGATGGGCAAATTACATAAGCACTAGATCTACACTCGCTCACTTGTGGTACTTGTTTAGTTCGCGCGCACAAGCATGAGTTCCCGACTTTTCACCGACACAGCGGTATGCTCGGTATGCGGGGGATACATATACACTGCATGACCTACGCAGGATGTTTCAGACACGAATCCGTATCGCCTGATAAGTAAGATGTTTTGGGGAGTGTGCATTTAACCATTACAATCACGTCCTCGTCGACAATTCTCACCAAATTTGGCGATCTTCCCGCAACAAACCGCACACGTGATGCCTTTCAGCCGTGCTGGAGTTTGAGGGTCTCCTGCTGGGGTCTGCTGACCTCACGGCGCTCAGAGGGTTCATGGACAGGCTGCTCAAGTCGTTCCTCAGAAGTCGCGGCGGCTGCGTCAGCGCCGAGGCTGAGGACCCCGCCCAGCTCCAGCACACGGTCCACCGTGTCTACCTCACCTGGAGCACCTTCTGCGGCGAGCTGCTGCGCAGGATGTCTCACAGTGGTGAGTATAGCCACTCACTAGCTGCTGCGCAGGATGTCTCACAGTGGTGAGCATAGCCACTCACTAGCTGCTGCGCAGGATTTCTCACAATGGTGAGTATACCCACTAACCACCTGCTGCGCAGGACGTCTGACAGTGGTGAGTATAGCCACTCACCAGCTGCGGCACAGAATTACCCCGCAGGGTGCATAAAGTCAGATATTGCGCCCGATGCCTCGCGCTGTTGCATTCACTAGCTGGGGCGCGAGATGTTCCGCAATATGTGTATGACTTGGAGGTACGCAGATGTCCCGCAGCAGCGCGTATGACCAGCTGCGCGGCGAACATTGTCCCACGGTGCTGTGTATAACCAGCTGCACGGCGAACATTGTCCACGGTACTGTGTATAACCGGCTGCACGGCGAACATTGTCCCGCGGTGTTGTGTATAACCAGCTGCACCGCGAACAATGTCCCGCGGTGCTGTGTATAACCAGCTGCACGGCGAACATTGTCCCACGGTGTTGTGTATAACCAGCTGCACCGCGAACATTGTCCCACGGTGCTGTGTATAACCGGCTGCACGGTGAACATTGTCCCACGGCGCTGTGTATAACCAGCTGCACGGCGAACATTGTCCCACGGTACTGTGTATAACCGGCTGCACGGCGAACATTGTCCCACGGTGTTGTGTATAACCAGCTGCACGGCGAACATTGTCCCACGGTGTTGTGTATAACCAGCTGCACGGCGAACATTGTCCCACGGTGTTGTGTATAACCAGCTGCACGGCGAACATTGTCCCACGGTGTTGTGTATAACCGGCTGCACGGCGAACGTTGTCCCACGGTGCTGTGTATAACCAGCTGCACGGCGAACATTGTCCCACGGTACTGTGTATAACCAGCTGCACGGCGAACATTGTCCCACGGTGTTGTGTATAACCAGCTGCACGGCGAACATTGTCCCACGGTGCTGTGTATAACCAGCTGCACGGCGAACATTGTCCCACGGTGTTGTGTATAACCAGCTGCACGGCGAACATTGTCCCACGGTGTTGTGTATAACCAGCTGCACGGCGAACGTTGTCCCACGGTGCTGTGTATAACCAGCTGCACGGCGAACATTGTCCCACGGTACTGTGTATAACCAGCTGCACGGCGAACATTGCCCCACGGTGTTGTGTGTAACCAGCTGCACGGCGAACATTGTCCCACGGTACTGTGTATAACCAGCTGCACGGCGAACATTGTCCCACGGTGCTGTGTATAACCAGCTGCACGGCGAACATTGTCCCACGGTGCTGTGTATAACCAGCTGCACGGCGAACATTGTCCCACGGTGCTGTGTATAACCAGCTGCACGGCGAACATTGTCCCGCGGTACTGTGTATAACCAGCTGCACGGCGAACATTGTCCCACGGTGTTGTGTATAACCAGCTGCACCGCGAACATTGTCCCACGGTGCTGTGTATAACCAGTGACCGAGCAGGCTATCCTAGAGGGGTGCGTACGGCGGGCTTCCGAGCAGAACGTCACACAGCGGCGCGTACAGTTAGGCCCTGCGCTGGATGTGCCGGAAATGAGTGCGTGATGATGTTCAAGAGGCGGCCGGCACGGAGCAGGAACCACCCGATCATGATAAACAGAGCAATTTCCGGCGTTCTGGAAATACAACGACGAACTACTCACTACGTGCCACAGAATGACGCATTCATCTGATCACAAAATCTCGTAAAGTCGTCGCAGACCTGAAGAAATACGAACATTGCTAAGCTTAATTGCATCGAACGCACAAAGCAATCTATGGATCATTGCGCACGTTTATATTGCGACATTTGCATGGCGAAGACGCCAGTTTTGCAGTTGACTCATCTAAGCCAGCTTCTAACGGAGCAGATGCGTCAGTCTTCGGTGTCTTGGAGGGACTTCCATTCTTTGTCGAATAGGCTTGAGTACGAAAATCGTGGGAGTCGTGAATGCGCTCAGATATTTGGGTGCATGACGTGGCTCCGACCTGCGCATCGGTGCTAACTCACCCATGTTCACTTGCGGTGCGCATGCGCACTTGCAAATATGCACATTTGATGATCCATGTATGTACTTATCCACCTGACGTTTCAATCTCAGAACGCCGAAAATTGCCTCGCGTATCCTGACAGGGGTTCATGCTCCGTGTCTAAACCCACACATACCCACCCGAATATCTTTGTGTGAAAGTGAGCATCACGTACTAAAAGCAAATTACTTGCACCTTTCAGATTGCTTTGACGAGGTGGTGCTTACTAGCATTCACGCCGACCAGGCCAGCAATTTTGTTCATAAAATACTCCGTCCGGTAGCCGGTTGAATATCCTTTGCTCGGGTGCGGGTGGGGTCAGTTTCCCCCCTGAGATCTCAAAAAGTAAGATAGTTAGAAACACCAAATTCACTGAGTTTATTGGTTTTTACGTAAGGTCACTTGTGTCCAAATTCTAGGTTGCTAAGTTATGATCTTAGGGTCAAATAAGATCAAACAAGATCAGACTCTGGCTTGGCATCTCAGGTGCCTTCAGACCTCCTCATGCCACCGTTGTGAAGACAAATACCTGTTGTAATCAAAAGGTTGATTATATTCAATTAAGGTCAGTGACCTTGCTTAACCTAAACGAGGTCAAGATGACTAAGTACGTTCGAGATTGTTCCCATTTTCGCCATTCGAATAAGCGTCAGGGATTACGCTAGAAGATGTCTTCTTAAAAAAAATGTTGTCCTAGGTCACTTTAGGTCAGTAACTTATTCTGACCCGTAAAAAGTGCATGGAAAATGTCTGCTGTGGTCCCTGTCATTACTAAATTCGAAATGAGCGCCAGAAACTACCCCGTAAATCAAGCTCTCGAGTAAAAAAGCAGGGTAGTGTTGACCACGGTCTGATCTTCACACCTGACTGAAGGCCAATGCAGTTGGATTGTTATTGTAAATTCAATTGGTTTACTGCCTAAGAAGCTATCCCAGATATGCATGGCTTCGTCTAGCACTCCGTTGTTGCAATACATCAACGATCCCCTAGAAATGCCCTTTGCTGACAGCCATGACCTGACTTTGACCTGCCATAGGTCAGCGACCTTACTCGGTGCATCTAATTTTTTCATCAAACGATCTGCTGTACAATTATGTTCAGCTATGCAGAGTTGGACACGGCTATACCGCGTGGTTCGGAAATTATTTTGGAAAGAGGGGGTAATCGAATATTTCCAAACCCAGTGCGTGTTAATGGCTACAATGCAAGCGGAACAGAAAAGACTCAAAATGTTCCACCTGATTCAACAAGGCTACAGGCATCGGGACTGACTTCCCGCCACCAAGACCACAGGCATTGGGACTGACTTCCCGCCACCAAACCACAGACATCGGGACTGACTTCCCACCTCCTGACTTTTCTCCTGCTTCCCGCTGTGCACCAAATATTTCCAGCCGTCACCCGCAGATATGGACTCAATTAGGACAGCTGGCAGGTGACATGCAGCGTACGGTGGCGTGCCTCAGGTGCTGGCCATACCAAGTGCACGTGGTCCGTACCCTGCACATCTGCCCCCCTTCCCAACCTCAGGCGTTCGGTGGTGTGCCTCAGGTGCTGGCCGTACCCTGCACATCTGCCCCCCTTCCCGACCTCAGGCGTGCGGTGGTGTGCCTCAGGTGCCGGCCGTACCCTGCACATCTGCCCCCCTTCCCGACCTCAGGCGTGCGGTGGTGTGCCTCAGGTGCTGGCCGTACCCTGCACATCTGCCCCCCTTCCCGACCTCAGGCGTGCGGTGGTGTGCCTCAGGTGCCGGCCGTACCCTGCACATCTGCCCCCCTTCCCGACCTCAGGCGTGCGGTGGTGTGCCTCAGGTGCCGGCCGCACCCTGCACATCTGCCCCCCTTCCCGACCTCAGGCGTGCGGTGGTGTGCCTCAGGTGCCGGCCATACCCTGCACGCCTGGCTGACGCAGTACGCCCAGTATCGGCTGCACGTGCTGTGCCTTCAGAGAGGTGCCGCCGGCCGGCTGGCCGCCCTCAACTCTTCGGACCAGAGCACCAGCGACGGCAGCTGTGAGCAGGCGCTACGCCGCGCCGGTCCGGCCCTATGTGGGGGTGGTGGGACCGCACAGCGAGGGTGGGATGTTTGGGTGCTATGGGCTTGGAGTGTGGACAGGTCCGCATGGATTTTGTTACCTTCGTTGAGTCCATGAAAGAATTTGTGGGAAGGAATGATAACTGATGTACGTTCTTAACGCGTTCCAAGGCAAATCGTGTGTCTCGAACCACTCACTGTTGCCCATTACACAAACACGGTTTCGTGAAATGTCAGAACAACCTTTTGATCGTCTGATAAAAAAAATATTCCGAATGGTATGCATGGGTGGCTTCGGATTCAGAGTACCTGCTAAGCGTAGCTCGTTGCGTGTACCCCGAACCCACCACCAGTCGTGCTGTCCAGTTCAACAGAAAACTTCGCCTCCGCCCTTTCGCCAGACAGGAACGCGGAGGGTTTTACGTGCCGCACAATGCTGCGACACGGCCGCCTCGGGTCTGGGCTGACCCTCGTTGGCCAGTTGCCAGCTGACCTTTCCATTTCAGTCGTGTCAGACAATGCGCCCACTCTGGGACTCGTACCCAGTGCCACTGGATTACGAGTCCAGCACCTTTGCCCTAGACCGCAGAGGCGGCAAATGGATTCTGATAAATTACCGGTTTGAAGAGGCTGGTCATAACGCCTTTTGTTTTGTTTTCCGTGTTCTAAAACAACTAACAAATTGTGATCCTAAGAGCATCTGACCAATCCCAACAACCCAGTGGTACGAATGGCCACTCTGCATTGTCTTCGGCCATGCGGTCTCCCGAAGAAAGGACGGGTAAACGTATTTCTCAAATAACTTTCGAAAATACTCATGTGGGCTACCAGATCTCTAAAGCCCGTCGGCTGATCATTTGGATATCTTCTACGTAACTGCCATCGACATTGCGTCAAGTCATAGAATCATCAGTAACAACTTACAGTACAGTTTTACTACTACAGGTGGTGCTTCACATTTCCCTCCCTCATTTTGAACTGTTTTAAATCATTCATCGACAAAACCTGCTGTTCGCCAGTCAGAGTCGGTCGTGCCATGCCAAGCCGCACCCTTTGCGATCATAAAAAGGTCACGTGAGGTCATCTGATAACTGGCCAACTAAACCGATCCCTAACGCCCATTTGCGACCAACAAGTCGGTATAACTGACACGCCTCAAGGCCTACGGCTAACTGCTGTAGCCCATGGAGGCTGGACGAGCAGCAAGAATGTCCAACAAGATGACTTGATCTTCACCTGCGTCAACCCGATCTGACCTGAGCCTAATCTTCGCATTTGCTGTCATTTATGGCGTGATTCTTGAGTGCAAATATAAGCGCTTTAGAGGGACAGATGCAAAGCTAACGAGCGCTAGATAATCCTGGAGGCCTCGGGGATTTTGGTTGTTCTGAAGAAATTTTACACGATCTACGACGTCACCGGACGAGCGACTCGCGTCAGCTCGATACTTCTTGGGCGAGCATGAACAAAGTTGCCGATTGCTGCTTGAGGTTTTTCCGATCTGTCAATAAGATTTTGAGATGGCATTGATGACTTTTAACCCCCCAAGTCATACTCCGAGCAGTGTCTGGTTCAACTCCCGAAAGGCCATAAAAGCCGTCGCTGAGAATCATGGCTTACCTTACACTTCGGTAGTGTCTACAGACAGTTTTTCTGAGCATCAGTTAGGACTTAAACGACACCATTTTCTCATGCTGCTTGCCCCTGCCCCTCCCCCTCCACCTCTTTCAGGTGCTGTGACATGGTTAGATTCTTCGTGGGTTGGGCTCGATTAATTCATTTTACACTACGAAGAGTGCTCTCAATTTCTCCAGCGCTCTAACCAGCCCTCGATGTCTTTCAGACGTTGACAGCGAGGACAGCACACAGAGGTCACCAGCTGGAGAGATGCTCAGCGACTATTTGAGTCCTGCAGGCGAGGACGTCAAGCATATGCCACCGCCCGATGCAGCACTGATGGATAATGAGTGGCCGATATTCAAGCCATGCGGCACGCTGTCTTAATAGCACACTGAGCGGTAATGGTCTTGATTTGACTTCTTATACCCTATTTCACGTTTTTTCTGTTTTCTGTCCTGAGTTTTGCATCTGGCTAGGTCATCGTCGGGTGATATACAGTATAATGAATGATGCGTTATGTGAAGTTTGCTAAACGTAAAGCGGCTTAATTACGCAGGCTTAAGCCGTTCTTCATAACGGTAGGTGTCTTCACCGTGACATCTAGTTTAATCAAACTTGGCCATGTTTTCCTACGACTTGGCATCAGCGACATCTTTTCCCTGAGCAGCTGCTTAGCTCCCACGCTTCGACTACTTCGTGTTGGCATCTCTATGCCGCAATCATTGAGATACAACCAAGGAATACATAATAAAACAGACGCGTTCCCTAATGATGCACTGCAAACTTTCTTAGCAGTGCATGAACAATACCCTATCAACCGTCGGTATTCTATTTTGAACTCTTGGCTTCTCATTTTACCTGAAATGACATAGTCTATAACCAGAATAAATCTGGAAGAACAGTGATGACATATTTTGCTACGTCTTGTTTTGAAACGGAAGTTATCCTTTGTGAGAGTCGGCTTTTGGCCGGAAAGTCGTCAGACGTGAACTAAGCAAGCATTCAATGACCAGTTGAAAGAATGCTCTGTCATGCAGTCTTGTAGTTGAGGTTTCTGCACGTCAAATGCGTAAACGGTATCCACGATTCGAACAATGATTTTCTAGAGTTAGGTGCCATACTTACGCGTGACTCCTGATTACGCATAGACACAGAAACTATGCTTATTGATGCCACGGTTGTTTTATTGTTCACTTGACTCACAACTGTTCCTATGACTCGCATTTTTTGTGAAACACGTGATACTCAGTCGTGTACATGTACATGATGTGAGGGCAAAATAGGACCAGTTCGATTGCGTCTTATTGCTTTTACTTTGTACCTCGAATGAAAATGTTCGACGCCAAATGCATGACCTAGCGCTTCTCTTGCCTCCTGGAAACGTGACGTGACAACTTCCAGTAGCACAAACTGGATGCACATAGTGACATTCTTGCTCGTCAATGGTGTTGCATTCAACGAGTCAATTCTGCTAAACGTCCCAAACAGCTAACGTGTAGACTGTTGGGGAAATGCATCTAAACATGGGGACAATCGCTCCCAGTTTTGCAAACACCATTCTACCTGGCATGAAATGCCTGCAGGTTGGCCACTTACCATGGCGGACCAGCCGGGAAGCTGTCCACATTGGTATCTTACACTGCAATGTTAGATTGCTCATGGACTGATGTTTTCAATATACCAGACACCATAAGTGATTCTAAAACAGGAATATTTTTGGAACACCGTGTCTTCTTATCTTTAAAACCTAATAAGTACGATAGTGATGGCAAAAGTCGGTCCAGTGCTATTCTGTCACGCTGATTTCACGGATGCTAATGTGACAATGGGTTGCAGGGAATTGGGTGGAAGGTCGGTCAGGGTGACGACAGTTAGGTCAGATTAGATTAGGTCAGGTAAAGTTAGGTTATGTCGGTCAGGCCAGGTTAGGTTAGGTTAGGTTAGCTTAGGTCAGGTTAGGTTAGGTTAAGCTAGGTTAGGTTAAGCTAGGTTAGGTTAGGCTAGGTTAGGTCAGATTAGGCTAGGTTAGGTTAGGTTAGGTCAGGTCAGGTCAGGTTCAATTCTGTTTATTTTCCCACTCCTCCTAAAATGCCGTTTCCGCGGAGGAACTGCAGGCAGATTGCACCATCGTAACAATCGGGCCAGCGGGTCGGGAGTGTTGTGTCTCTGGAGTGTTTGGAAATAACCTACAGTAATTATTAAAGTTTGAAAGTAAGAGTGTAGATGTACCTGCGTTATGACTATCTACAACATTTATCTTCTTAAAAAGACGATTTATGTACAACGCTTTTTTGCAACATGCAATACCTAAGTATGCCTATATTGCTAATGGTTCTGATCGCCCGTTTAAAACCAAATACTCCCACCGATTTGTGGGGTGCTCGCTGTCAAATTGATGCATTGGTGTTGAAAAATAAGTCTTAACACGCGCTTGGGCGGGAGTTAAATTACCCCCCGGATGTTTTTCCAGAATGGTTTCCGAACGGCGCGGCGAAACCGCGTCACATTTTGCATGGCTGTAGAAAATTGAAGAGCGGATCGTTAAGCATAACAATTTAGATGTACCTTGTAAGGTTGCTGACCTATGGCAGGTCAAAGACAGGCCATGGTTTCGGCGAAGGCAATTTCTAGGGAATCGTTCATTCTGATGCGACAATGGAGTCTTAGACGAAGCCACATCTGTGAGATGCTTGCTTAAGCAACACAAATACTGAATGAGCAAATTACGTTGACCTAAGTTCAGGTATGAAGGTTAGACCAAGGTCAAAACAAACCTGTTTTATTGCTCTAGGGCTTGCTGTATGGGATTGTTGCTGGTGCTCCTTTCGAATTTACTGAGAGCAAAAAATGCATCACACATCTCCCATGGCCTTTTTAGAGGTGAGAAAAGGTCATTGGCCTGAAATGACCCAGGTCAACATTTGTTTTTAGAAACGTATTGCCAAGCGTTATCTTTGTCGCCTATTCAAGTGCAAAACTCAGCGAAGCCTTGTATGACTTTGGTCACCATGACCTTCATAAGTTCAAATAAGGTCACTGAACTTAAATGAGCATGTGAGCTTTTGCCTAGAAGCAATTATCTAGGTTCTGGGACACTTTGGAGACCAATCTGGAATTTCTTCTTTTTGACCTTATTTGACCAGAAGGTCAAAAAAGACCTAGAAACTTAAAACGTCGACCTAAGTGAGCTCACGCACACCCTGTGAATTAGCCAACACACCCTGTGAATTTGGTGTCTCTAGCTTTCTTAGTTCCCGAGATCTCGGTGGGGAAGGGGGTGAAATTGCCCCCCCCCCCCCCACCCGAGCGAAGGGTATCCAGTGGGCCACACAGGCACGTGTTAACATGGTTGTCTCATCAGGAGGCTAAACAAATTACGCGTCGTCCATGGACTGATTGGATACAACCTCCACGACCAGGTTGTCGCGGAGAGTAGTAAGGGAACGGAATAGCGTTCGTACAATCAGAAACAATCGGTGTACTTGTTTTGGACCAGATTCCCAAAACCTTAGGGCCCAAGAGGTGGATGCGCACCCGCTTAAAACAGCGAGTTTATTCGTTCGTGTGCGCGGCGCGTTTAGTCTTTTTTTGTTGTCTTTTCAGGGCATGTGTACATTCCATGCCTAGGAAACTAGTGGAGATAAGATAGCGGGCACTCGAACTGTTCGTGTTTATGATGCATTTTCCCAACAGCGCACACATGAGCTGTTTTGGGCTTGTAGCACGACTGGCTTATTGTTGGATCTAACGACGTTCATTACAAGACGATCACTTTTTGGTAGCTCATCTAACGCAGTTCTCTGCTTACCATATTTGATGGTAGGGCATGGCCGCACGTTCTAAACACGGCGTTTCCGGTCACAAATAAAGCGAATTGGAAACGACGTATCGCCATTTTCCCCAAGTCACGTACGCCATTGTCACCATTGGTTCACAGCCAGGACGTTGGGCGCCACAGACGTGGTCGCGTAAAAAAATAACCCTTATTGCCCTGGTAAGGTGTGGGGAGGTCACTGCGACCCCTCCCGAGATCGGTATGGGATATCTATCCAGTATGTGGGGTAATCGCGCCCACATTCGCGGTAGGTTATGAGGCATCCATTGCATGTGTTTTGACACCCTAGATGCGTTCCTGCCTCTTCCGGTTCGGAGCAGCGGCGATTTTTGAGGAACACTGCTCGGCGATCTACGGCCGGCAGGGGGCGACGGTCGGCAACAGATGACGTCCGGGCTGCCTTTGTTACATTTAGGGAGATTTATATCATCTTATGCTTATAACACACACAAATGTACATCGTTGTGCTCGGAATTAAACAAGGATTAAGTCTATTTAGATTTGTGTCACCTTGAGGCATGGACTCTTATGTACGATGCTATAAAGCCAAGGTGTGATTTTCTGGAAAATTTGACCTCTGACCTAACATAACGGGGTCAATTTTAAATTTAACAGCGTAACAACTAATACCAATCGCGATATCTAGTGACGAACAATACACTGATGTTTCCTGCTCGGCTCTATTCTCATTAGCTTGGAAACACCAGTGGGCTCGCATCGACCGCCTATCAATTCACGTTATGGAAAAGGACGAATCTGACCAACGGTTGAAAACGTGGCAGCTTCCAAGCGTACTTCCACATCCACATGTACGGCTTCCACAAGTAATACTCTTGAACTTGTGCCTAACTGGTAGCACTGCGTAAATATGTCCCTTTATCCTAACTTAATTATGGCCTGAGGTCTCGACTATCACGCTAGCGTATTTGGTGAGTTGGGCGCGAACATCGTGTGATAGAGCATTTTTGTAACGGTATTTGCAGATTGTTGACTTGGAAGTTGTTATATTGAGATAACGATAAAAAAAAATGCCAGGAGGTACTGGTTAAACGATGAAATTGTGCTAAATAACAAATGCGTTGAAGATCCTCAATTTTTTTAGTTGTGCACATCTTCAAGGGTGTTCTAGTGCTCTGTCACACACTATTTTATTACTATTTCATGTTTTCCATTCACAACACAATGCGGGAACAGTTTTACCAATACTTGATTTCTGCAGATACGTTCGGGCCTGCACCTGCGCAACAACACACGAAATGATACGCAGACCGCATGCTGGGTAAATGCAAATGTAGACCAAGCCCTTGTAATGTCACTCTTGAATGTGAGCACGGCTCGTAATATTGAGTACCGTCAACATAATCGTGCTTTAGCAATACAGGTTCGGTTAACCAGCACCTTCTGGTGTATTGATGGTCGTTGACTCTGCATAATAATCTTGAACTCATAATGCCTAAAAACATTAAGAGTTGAAGGCATTTCCTTCTTATATATTAACCTACCTCATGACACAAACCAACGTCATCAGGGCTCTTCATCTTAAGAGTACTCTTGACGTATTTTTTACTAGCGTACAAGCGTTTACGAACCACATATCTTCACTTCATGACACGATGCAGGAACACTTCCGCCGCAAACTATTTTCTGCAGATGCGTTGGGGCTTGTACAGTGCAACCGCATATGAAAAATGCAGGAACTGTATGTCGATTAACTGCAAATGCAGACCATACCCTCATGGTATCCCCTATTCGTCCGTCTGCACCAGCCATCATTGAAGACACTTACAAAATGCCCATAAACATAAGTATTGATGCAATGCTGAGGCGGGCACACAATCTAAAAACTGAAGCACTGCTTGCAGCTTCGTTGACAGTGCGTGATGAAACTCGTTGTTGATGATAAAACTCGACGCTGCGTTGTGCTCAAATTTGACTGATCTTTATCTTTTTACTGTCGCCAGTTTCACGCTGCCTGGATTGTTAGTGCGACGACTCCAGCAACCCCGGACTAATATTTCAAGAAACACATCTGCCGGTGTGCGCGGGGTCTGGCACGCCACCGCACCCATGGGAAAGAGCGCCCACCCGCCGCCACCGCGGAGCACCATCCCAGCTGACTGCTGGTGGGCTTCAGAGAACAGGGTGATAGTGTGGCGGATGTCAGAGAACGGAGTGATGGTGCGACGGTTCTCAGAGAACGGAGTGATGGTGCGGCGGTTCTCAGAGAGCGGAGTGATGGTGTGGCGGTTCTCAGAGAAAGGAGTGATGGTGTAACTGTTCTCAGAGAACGGAGTGATGGTGTGACGATTCTCAGAGAACGGAGTGATGGTGTGGCGGTTCTCAGAGAACGGAGTGATGGTGTGGCGGTTCTCAGAAAACGGAGTGATGGTGTGACTGCTTTCAGAGAACGGAGTGATGGTGTGGCGGATCTCCGAGAGCGGAGTGATAGTGCGTGGTGAAACGTAAATTATCAGCCTACAGCGGCATGAGCGATTCGCTAACCAAGATGACCTGTGCCAGATTGCCGATGCTCGTAATCCGTCGGTCAGTGTAGACCCGTCACAAGCGCGGACGTGTTCGCTGAGACAGAGGCGAAATCTCCCGGCAAACTCGAGGGAAAGCGCTGAGCGTTGAGAGAATGCCGCGGCTTCCGTCATAGCTTCTTTGCTGGAGAAACTTCCTGAACATTGATGACCCGTTGCTTTTATGACGCATTGTATGCAGCTCATGATGTGTAACGTGAACAGCTTTGGTTCAATGAGACTGCAGCTCTCTCTCCTCATAGGTCAAGTTACCGTATTTGCAAGTATTTGACTCATATTCGCTGGTATTCGGACGGTAAAGTTATACCAGCAAGGTCATATCTGAGCTCACTGGCAGCATTTCAACTTGTGTAAGCTACTACAAGAGCTCTCGTCGTACCAGGATCACTTAACCGCACAATAAGATTTGGTACCAGGCGGCCAGCAAATCAGCTGAGCTATGAACGCAATGAAGTCCTGCAGTCTCCACCGTAGCTGTGTGTTCTATGCTTAGCTGCCTAAGGCAGTGTCACTCGATTCGAATTTCGGATCATACACAACCACTTAACCCTATGGGGACATATATGGAGGCCAGCTTGCAGCCAAAGCGGCACGGGGTCAGCTGCAATGTGAGGATGCCGTGCTATTTTATTAAGTGGCTTGAACAACCCATCTCAGCTGTGATTTTTAGTTTCACGACAGGAAAAACTGCACCAGATTTACAGCTGCGTTTCTTCGAGCGTTTGACCGTTTACGGTCGACGTATGGCAGATTCTGCCCTAAGTCGTCCGTGCACACTGTTGGCAATATATTTTTTTCTGGCCGTCTTTGTTTATAGGAGCGCATGCACACTCCCGTTGTCTGCGGTCACAGCATGAGGACGGCGACAGCGCTGATTTGGCTGCAGTCAGCCATGGGCGAAGCCATTGGGGGAATGGAGGAGGGGGGGGGGGGGGGGGGGGGGGGGGGTACTCCCCGACAATTTTAGGTATCCCGACTTTTGTCTCCCTTCGTCCATTTCGCGCGTGGAATGCATGCTTTTGAATTTTCCCGTTCCAAAATACACTTTTCGGGTCAGGTTTCCCCCAAGATTCCGCACCTCTAATCCAAATAAATCCCCCCCCCCATCTCAGAGATGTGGCTATGCCCATGCAGTGAACAACCACTGTCCGTATTGACATCGGCCGCCGGCCTGCTGATGCTCTCTGTCAGTATCGAACATCGGCCACCGGCCTGCTGATGCATTGATGCAGTGTCGGTATCGAACATCGGCCGCCGGCCTGCTGATGCATTGATACACTGTCGGTATCGAACATCGGCCGCCGGCCTGCTGATGCACTGTCAGTATCGAACATCGGCCACCGGCCTGCTAATGCACTGATGCACTGTCGGTATCGAACATCGGCCACCGACCTGCTGATGCATTGATACACTGTCGGTATCGAACATCGGCCGCCGGCCTGCTGATGCACTGTCGGTATCGAACATCGGCCTCCGGCCTGCTGATGCACTGTCAGTACCAAACACCGGCCACCGGCTTGCTGATGCATTAATGCACTGTCTGTATCGAACATCGGCCACCGGCCTGCTGATGCATTGCTACACTGTCGTTATAGAACATCGGCCACCGGCCTGCTGATGCATTGATGCACTGTCGGTATCGAACATCGGCCGCCGGCCTGCTGATGCACTGTCAGTATCGAACATCGGCCACCGGCCTGCTGATGCATTGATGCACTGTCGGTATTGAACATCGGCCACCAGCCTGCTGATGCATTGATACACTGTCGGTATCGATCATCGGCCACCGGCCTGCTGATGCATTGATGCACTGTCGGTATCGAACATCGGCCGCCAGCCTGCTGATGCACTGTCGGTATCGAATATCGGCCGCCGGGCCTGCTGATGCACTGTCCGTATCGAACGCTGGTGTGGGTCGGCTGTGGGAAATGGTGCCGTGGCCACCTATATTTTTTGAAGTACATACTAAAACAAAAGTTGGGATTTAGATATGCAGCAATGACGAAAAAGTAACAACCGGCCGGCATCATTCACCGAAGCTACAAAGAAACAAAGCGAGAATGCTCACGCATGTCTGTCCCCTGCACTCATTACGAAACAAGGGAGTCCATAAATGTACATCTTATTTATAACAATTGACACGTACATCATACAAATCATAGTCTTACAGGGTGTAACAAATTACAAACACGAGAGACCAAGACAGTTTCATCTGCAAGATGTAGTAATCCGTGAAAACCAGTGGCCGACACACAGCTCAATCAAACCCCACCGCTCGAACTCATATGGCGAGAGCGTAACGATACGTGGTTTAAGTCAGTACTAGCTGTTTCCGTAACGGTGTGGTATGGCCATTAAGCGCAAGAAATCCGCAAGAGAATGTCCAGCACATGAAGATCAATGGCACATTAATTCACACAGGGCTCGAGTTGCTGCGGCGTTAAACAGCACAAATAATTGATATTCCAACTGATATGATGTTCCACATCAGTCAACGGATACGACACTGCTTGCTTGAAGTTCATACTCCCGGGCCACCGCTTGCATCCGGAAATCGCCAACGTGTCCGCAAAGGGCCTGCGTGGAGCTGATCACCGGCGAGATGGGATGGTACCAGTCGTCCGTGCCCCTGCCCTCGGCCTCACTCCGACTGCCGTCCTCACTGGAGCACGAGCATCACAGTGACTGGCGGCGGCGGTGGAGCGGCGGTGGCGGCGGCGGTGCGTCACCGCGGAGCTCACACAACCGCGCCGCTGACACCGCTCAGCCTGACTTCCAGCGAGCGGCGGTTCTGGCAGATGCTGGTGCACGAGTCGCTGCGGTACAGGCCGGCGCCCTCTCGCGCCGACAGCCATGCCTCCACCGCGTGGTACAGGTACAGGAACTCCCGCTGCCGGCAGCGATCGCCGCCGTTACCATGGGAACGGCCGGTGACCGCGGCTGCCGCCGACTCCGGAACCCGACGGCACGGCAACGCGTCCTGGCAAGGCTGCTCCCGCGGCGCGCTCGAGATTTTCTGACAGAGACCAAAGCTAGCCGGCTGCTCCAAATGTATCTGGGACCTCTTCATGATCACCTTCACAACGCATATTGTCCGCAAGATTGTACTGTGCGAAGTTGATTTGACGTCAAACGTCATTACGACCTTTTATAGACGATCTTATTTGACGTAACGATATCAAGATGTGGCGCTTATGTCAAGCTAAATTCTATTTTCATTTCACATTCAAATTCTATTGTAAATTTAATCAATGCTAAATTAAACACTGCCAGTTAGTTCCTTTCTCGTTTGAGAACAAATCGTGCTAGCCAATAAAACGAGGCATATATATATATATATATATATATATATATACATATATATATATATATATATATATATATATATATATATATATATATATGTATATAACACTGTGTCGTTAACGATGTGAGACGTGTCGGGTTTGAAACCTATCTTACCTCGCCTTGCTTTGGATAGAAGCATAACAATCGGAGGAGAAGCAATGCATTTCGGGGCGGAGCCAGCATTCCAATGTAAATGCTGCTTGATTTCATTCATGCTGTCGAAATGCTCGACTTCAAGCCCGATTACTGACCATCCTTGGCAAGAGGCAATGCGGTAAAGCCTACCTAAAAAGCTTCGTTCGGACGCTCGGTTTCAAGCCCGAATACCGACCAGTTATACACAGGAGCGATGCGGTACAGTCCACCCAGATAATCACGGCACCTTGTTCGAGCTCAAAACGGACCACGAGTCCTCTATATGAATGCGGATCCATCTAAGCCCATGGTAAGTACGCAGCTATAGCGGCCATGGCGTTGCATGCAGTGAACCAGAACACATGAACGCACACCTGGTGGAAGGTTTTCCTACCATGGTTTTCCAGATGCCTGGGCGCCTCTGGTGATACAGTTTGGCGTAGGTGAATATATCGAAACACCCCTCGTGCTGCAGCTGCCGGAGTACTGAGCTGAGCAGGCAGAAGCTGGCCCCCTCCGTGCCGCCGTACCTGAGCACGGAACGCGCTCGTGTCACGGCGTGGGCCACCAGAAGCCAGTCACGGCCGGCGGCCCAGGCATGTCAGTCTCGGCCGCCGGCATCTTTCTCCACTGAGGTGCTTCTTCCAGCATCTCGACATGGGGGCAAATCGCTTAAACACCCGCACACTCCTCGGGTAAGCAGCAGAATGCTGACAGTCAGGGGTGAAGCATTGTGTCTTTAGTAATAGCCCCTCTCCGGCCCAAACAATGCAGGTCTTCGAAACTTCAACGAATCTACGTAAAAACATTGGCAAAAGAGCAACATAGCTCGAGGCCGCATTAACTCCGAACATATCCCACCTCAACTCTTCGCAGCTCAGCCACTGGTGGCCACCATATTCCAGGACGCCCAGTGTTGCACCTCGTCCTCATAATTACTCAACGACCAAAACGACCGTAGATGTCGCGCTTCACAGCCGGTATGAACAGCACCGCTGGCAGCATTCATGCGCAGCACTCGCACACCAGGTGCTGGGTTGTAACCGCCACCGGCCAGCCGGGCGCATGAGAGCCCGGTCACCGCTGGGCTGTGGCCGCCACCGACCAGCAGGGCGCCTGAGAGCCCGGTCACCTGTCGATGACCAGCAGCGGCGTGCGCCGGTCTCCCTGGATCTCGGTGACGCCCAGCACGCCCTCGACCACCGAGTCGGTGGAGCACTCCTCCGGCCACAGTGGCAGGTGAACTATGCGCACGGTCACGTCATCCATGCCCTGAAACGGCGCCAGCGAGCTCCAGTCCACGACACGCACATCAGGCTGGCACACCTTGGCAGCATCAGAGCCCCGCACGCACCGGCCCGGCGAAATGGCAGGGACACCGCTCACTCTGTGGCGTCACTGACACCACGACACGCCGCCGTCAGAGCACGAGGGAAGGTGTGAGGCACCAGCCCCGACAGCGCGACAACGGAAGGTCACGGCAGATACTACATATGCTGCGACATAGCGCAGCGAGTACGCCTTGTTCCAACCCCCAATGCTCGTGGCTGCGACGTCTGAAGCGTTTATACGGTCTCGTGGGACCAGCGCCACTTACCTCTGTCGACTCCATGAGGAAGGAGCGGATGATCCACGAGGACTTATAGGTGGCGCTGCAGTCAGCACTCTCCGACATGTACCGAATTACAAAGCTCCGACCGTAAAGTTCTTCTTCCTCCAGCGGCCAGAAGACCCCGAAGTCCTGGCGGAGGAAGAGCTTAGTTGGCCTCTGAGCAACGTGATTAGCAACTGAAGTCATGACACAACTTAATAAGCGCGTAGTTTTATGCACAGGATAAACCCATAGCTGACATGGCATCTCATCCTTCATTTTGGATCAAAGCATCTAAAACTCGAAGAACTTAACATGAATCTTTAATACGAACGCGTTTATTTGTCCGGACATTCACTGTCTTACAGATATCACGTATGACTAATGCTTCTTAAGTTTCACTTAAGGGTGCCTGAGTCCCAAGATTTTGCCCTGAAGATTCCGAAATGTGACGAAATATTGTTGACTAGTCCTGTACGTGAGACACCTCCCTAAGTTGGTGGGTCGTGACCAGTGAGGAGGGATTGTGCTTACGCCCACGCTTTCTTATAACCGACACAGTCCCAGCGGCGGTAAGAACGGGCTACGCTACGCCCGAGATGCGCTGGCAGCTGGACCGACCTCGGGGGACAGACAGGTGACCGTGGTCACCCTGTGGTCCCACACCATCTGCCAGAAGTCCAGCACCGTGTTGGGCAGCGGGTGCTGGGTCAGAATGTACTCTTGCATCAGCCGGTAGCCTGCAAGCAGCAAGTACGCAATGAGTGGGCGCGGTCAACACCGGCTAAACGATGACCGAGACCAGCACACAGCGCGCACAGAGGTCAAGGCAGTCTGACGCTAAGAGAAGAGAAGCGCTGGGCGATCAGCGTCGCCGCCGGAGCTCAGCACATATATACGAGAGGGTAGCGGGACTGATATCAATGCCCACGAGCCTCACAAGGCGGCATGTCTTCCTAGTAGCCTCGGGTGCACAACACTGCAAAAATTGATTACTCTTGCTTAAATTGATTGATTAAATTGATGTTTACTCTTGCTTAAAATGATTGATTAAATTACTTAAATTGATAAGGCCAACGGAGGCGTGACGTCAATACTATTTCGGCCACTAAGTCCGTCCCAGTGGCTCAGTTGGTTAGAGCGCCTGCCTTCCAATCCGCCCACCCGTGGCGGGGTGGGTTCGAGTCGCTTTAGGGCGCTCGCTGCCCTTGACAGGTATGGCCTGTGGCCGGTGGCAGTGGTCGCGCTGAAGGTCAGTTGACGTCAGAGGGCAGTACGGACCGTGCCGAACAGTGCGGCGCGTAAAGCTTTCGCCACCAAATTCTGCCGTTGACATGGAATTGCGCGATCGGGTAGTAGGGGTCAGAGCTCACACAAGCACTGCTTAGCGTGAGCTCTGATCCCAGAGATCCATCCATTCAAAGGGTTCGGATCAAATCTTAAAAAAACTAACGGGAGGATGCCTCTTGCAACCATAAATACTCTGTAATCATCCGTAACGTTATTTTTATTCGTAATCGCCTTATAAATGACACTAAGCTCCAATACCACGTAGCGGAATGCTCACCCTAATGAACATTTATGTGTTAGATGCTCAGTGATCTACCACGTCTCACGGCATTGGGATCAGCAAGATCAGTGCGGTGGACTGGATCGCACAAAAATAAAAGTCAATTTAGCAACAGCGTCCTAAGGGAACCCTTTCTTGTCTTTGTCGTTGCCTTTCCTGTCACGTGTATTTCTTGCCGTGGTGCTCCCCTGCTCCTGAGTTCGATTAACCTGATACAATTTTCAGGGCGAGTTGAGTGGCAGCTCCCCTGCCACGCCTGTCCCCAAAGCGCCAATCGGCGCTGTCTGGTGCCGGGATCAGGCTCTGTGACAGCCAGATCAGTCCTCTCGAGGCGGCGCTCGTACCCCCCTACAGGAGCCGTTGTCTGGTACCGGGATCAGGCTCTGCGCCAGCCAGACCGGTCCTCTGGCGGTGACACCCGCACTCCTACGGGGACCAGGCTCTGTCCCAGCCAGACCGGTCCTCTGGCGGTGACACCCGCACTCCTACGGGGACCAGGCTCTGTCCCAGCCAGACCGGTCCTCTGGCGGTGACACCCGCACTCCTACGGGGACCAGGCTCTGTCCCAGCCAGACCGGTCCTCTGGCGGTGACACCCGCACATCCTACGGGGACCAGGCTCTGTCCCAGCCAGACCGGTCCTCTGGCGGTGACACCCGCACTCCTACGGGGACCAGGCTCTGTCCCAGCCAGACCGGGTCCTCTGGCGGTGACACACCCGCACTCCTACGGGGACCAGGCTCTGTCCCAGCCAGACCGGTCCTCTGGCGGTGACACCCGCACTCCTACGGGGACCAGGCTCTGTCCCAGCCAGACCGGTCCTCTGGCGGTGACACCCGCACTCCTACGGGGACCAGGCTCTGTCCCAGCCAGACCGGTCCTCTGGCGGTGACACCCGCACTCCTACGGGGACCAGGCTCTGTCCCAGCCAGACCGGTCCTCTGGCGGTGACACCCGCACTCCTACGGGGACCAGGCTCTGTCCCAGCCAGACCGGTCCTCTGGCGGTGACACCCGCACTCCTACGGGGACCAGGCTCTGTCCCAGCCAGACCGGTCCTCTGGCGGTGACACCCGCACTCCTACGGGGACCAGGCTCTGTCCCAGCCAGACCGGTCCTCTGGCGGTGACACCCGCACTCCTACGGGGACCAGGCTCTGTCCCAGCCAGACCGGTCCTCTGGCGGTGACACCCGCACTCCTACGGGGACCAGGCTCTGTCCCAGCCAGACCGGTCCTCTGGCGGCGGCACCCCCACCCATACGGAAGCCGCAGCTCATGTGTACAACACCCGGCCGGGCCTAGCCCGATCAATAGAGCGTGACCGTGCCGCGGCCGTCTCATCGCAGATGTGCGCCGCGCCACCGCCAGATGACAGAAAAACAAAGCTCGCCGCTACGGACCGCAGCCACTCAATGGGCCCCCGGGGACCGGCGGCTGCGGCGCGACTTTTAATTGCACCTACAGGACCGCCGGCCCGGCGGCTGCGGAGCGGCGCGGCGGACCGACCGCCGGGGCCGCCGGCGGCTCCGTCACACCGGCGGCTGCGGAGCGGCGCGGCGGGACCGACCGCCGGGGCCGCCGGCGGCTCCGTCACACCGGCTGCTGCGGAGCGGCGCGGCGGACAGACCGCCGGGGCCGCCGGCGGCTCCGTCACACCGGCGGCTGAGCGTCGGCACGGGGGCCGCCGGCGGCTCCGTCACACCGGCGGCTGAGCGTCGGCCCCGACGGACTCCGACGGCGAGCCGACCCGGCAGCTGGCTGTTGGGAGGATACACTCGCGGATTTCGTAAAGACAAACGAATTCCTCGCTTTCGGATGAGCTTGAGTGGAAAATGTGCTCAGCCATCCGTAGCTCAGCAGCCACGAAGCGTAAACGTGAGGCACAACACCAATCCTGGTACAGATGACCCGCTTAGGAGCTATATCAATACGGCCCGCGAGATGTACGCGTCACCAATGACGAACTACGACACCTATTGAGCCAGAAAATTAAGAGTTGCGACCCAGTTGTGATTTGCGGCCGATCAATCGCGTATTTGTCAGCCGATCACCAGACCAGTGGCTGGTGTTGATGATTTCAATGAAAAACTATCTAATCACGTGCAGGATTATAATGGGCATTACGAGATATGATATGAATGCGAGATATACATTGTGGTAATAAGATTTATGATATGCGTGACATACCATTGCTTGTACAATCTATAGTATACTATTACCATGTAACTGTTATTTGTGCTAAATAACTCGACATCGCTGATTCTTTATTGTTGACTTGCCCTCATTTTGAGTGTGTACTTTGCAGACCCATTGTAGATGCGTTTGTGCTTTTTAGTTTTCCGGCTCTATGAGGTCAAGGTTCTCATGTAGAGTAAACGACCTTCCATACACAAGGAGGTGCCGGTATATTAGCACTACAGTGTCGTTTTATCTGCACCTCCTGGTACATTGCAGGCCGTTAACTCCACATACCAGCTTTGAACTCATTAATACCTGATGGCATTCACAAATTCGTAATATTGCGATTATGAATAACATTCACAATGCCATAGCTGTATCAAGTACTTTTACCTTTAAATGAATTAACATTATAGGCAAAATGGTGATCTGTGATGCCTCCGTGCCGCATTTTTGTTCGTTTGAATAACGCAAATTTGGCTTGCCATGTTGCGGGCCTGGTTGATCTTGTTCATTGTTGCCACCGCTACATTCGACGGCGGTGGACAAATATAACGTTTGACTGATTAGCCGCCACTCAAGGCGATGGATTTTGTCATGCCGTAACGCGAGCCCAGTTCTATATCTGGACGTGGACCATGAGCCAGCAATAACCTACATTTGGCAAGAACAAAGCACTTTGAAACCACAGCTTCGTATTCTCAGAGTGCTGCAGCTAGAAACCAGAGCCGGACACATTGGCTGGCTCACGGACCCTGGGGCATTGCGCACTACCACCACTGAGTAATCCACAGCCTGCGATGCCTGTCGGCGCGGCAGCTCACTGAAGAGCCGACATGTGGCCTTGAACCAACAATGACCATCCCGGCGGTGAAGTCTGCGGCATTCAGCGGCTGAGCTCCCATGCATTGTCGGCAGCTCAATGACAGCCCTTTTGCAGAAGTGGTCCCGGGATTCTTGGGAGCGATATTTCTGGAATACATAAGCTCCGGCATCGCGGCGGCCATACATTCAGAGGGCTGTCCGACTATGAAGACGGCTCATCCTGTGATGGGTGGATGTGACCTTGGCGGGCCAAGGCCAATCGAGTGTACCGAAACAGCTCCTGTCTTGGAAATAATAAATCCCCCCTAGCGAGTGAGGTGGCACCCCCTGCGCATCATACTTTCCGAAACACGCGACCAACAGTAAAACCCAGACAACGACGCACACAATTAAGGCCCTCGTCGAAGGCCCTCGTCAGTTATTTCGCCAGCTACCAGACTGGCACGTTTGGTCGTCAGTTGTAACTCGCCAGCTACCAGACTGGCATGCTTGGTCGTCAGTTGTAACTCGCCAGCTGCCAGACTGGCGTGTTTGACTGACCTGGGGCCGACGCTGCGTCTGAGTGTGTGTTACGTCACCTGGCAGCCAGGATGCGTTGATGTAGTCGGCGCCCTCCAGACCCGAGTCGGGTCGCAGCCGCACCCGCGACGTCTCCATCGGGATGTAGCTGAGGCTGCGGTTCTTGGCCTCGTTGCACGGCTTGGCCGCCGACACCACCATGTACTGGCGCGCCTCCAGGGCGATGGCGTGCTGCGGCGACACGGACATCGGCGTCACAGGACGACACGCAGAGCGTGACGCATGAAACGTGACGCTCGGAAGGTAGGCTGACGGTGCAGAACGCGTATCCGATCGATTCATGATAACGGAGCGTCGCAGCTCCTGAACAAACGAAACGACGGGACTAGGAAGTGCAGAACAGAAATGAGGAGAGAGAGAGAGAGAGAGAGAGAGAGAGAGAGAGAGAGAGAGAGAGAGAGAGAGAGAGAGAGAGAGAGAGAGAGAGAGGAGAGAGAGAGAGAGAGAGAGAGAGAGAGAGAGAGAGAGAGAGAGAGAGAGAGAGAGAGAGAGAGAGAGAGAGAGAGAGAGAGAGCCGGACAGAGAAGCCGGACAGCCGGACGCCGGACAGCCGGACAGCCGGACGGCCGGACAGCCGGACAGCCGGCTGAAGCTGACCTTGTACTGGTTCTCGGCGGCCGGATACGGGAAGCTGCCCCGGCAGCCGTCCTGCAGCTGCTCTATGTAGTGGTGGGCATCGTTTCGAGGCACGAGCGTCTCTCCGGCCGTGACGCGCTCCAAAAGACAGTCGTGCAGGAACGAGTACTCGTCCACCGTGGTGAGCAGGTACGGACACTGGCCTGCCGCACGAAACAGCCGTGGACGGACGAGCACTGGACACGACGCGACAGCTAGAGGACACACGCAGCTGCTGCGGAGTGGTTATCGGGTGTACTGCGTCACGGAGAAATGCACAGCACTCTATACTATTGACGTGAAGAAAGCTCCTAACACATCACGTATCAACCAGCATTCGACAATGAATTTTAAATCGGAAACATTTTTTGGGGTAAAATTGAGCAAGTGTCATTTGTTTGTGTTGTTATAACGTGTTGATGTTCTAGCGTATAAATCACATTTTCATGTTATCTGCAGCATGAGATCATTGCGATGTGAGACATTTTCATCCACTGCTGGCAGGATGTGGAGGTAAACACAACAACATTTTGATATGTAGTTTCGGGCCAAGGGCGTAGTTTTGTAAAATGAGCTGGGGTAGTTTAGATGGGTTTGGGGCTGAGCGGTGAAAAATTGCGCAACCTACCGATAAATATGCCAAAGACGGGTTTCTCCCCAGAGTAGACCCACCATTTTCTCAGAGTTGAGGGAAAGGTTGGAGCCCCAAATGAATAAGAAACTACGCTCCTGTTCATGGTACCAGGTTGATGACAGGGCCCATCAAATTGCTTGAAAAGACCCGTTTCACTGAAAACCCACCAGTTTTCTTGAACAAATATTGTGTACATCATTTGCCTGACATTCAATAACACGGCACGTGAACAAATTGCTGGTAACTATACTCACCAGCTTTGTGAAGCCGCATTGAAATTCGGTGAAGCGGCATGTGAATTATTCAGCAGCTTAGGTGCGCGTTATTGCGCCGCGATCCACGCAGAGCGTTCGGATCCGGGCCGCCCGTTCGGCATTCAATCACCATACATTACGCGCATTGCCGGCTCGATGCCGTGATAACAGTGCGCGCTCCGTGTCAGGAGCGCAGTCCCCCGAGGCGGCGGGCGCGGTCGGCACCGCTGCGCCTGCGCGGCGCGGGCGTTAGACGAGGTCACGACGGCGGTCAAGGAGGCGGAATGTCCACCCGGTTGCGGCGTTTTATGTCCGCTTGTCCTGGATACGCGCGTGTCAGGTGTCCGAATTTGTCCTGTTGGATTTTTCGCTCGGTATTTCTTGGGCATTACGTGTGTGTGGTCAAACAAGACGTCTGAGCTTAATCTAAAATTCGAAGCATGCGAAATGACGTTTTCCTTGCTCAGCTTCCGCACATCGCATCGTTTCGTTTGATGATCATACATTCCGCACATATTCAGTAACCAACCTAAACAAATAAATGGCAAATGGGCTTTTCATGATCTTCCCATCCTTAGATTGATGCTTTACTATTTGCCTCTAGATTGCTAGATTGCCCGCTAGATTGATGCCTCTCTAGCTTTACAGCAAGTGAGCCTAAGATCAGGCTAAAAGGAGCCTCAGGGTCAAAATGTAAAGATATCTAACACAATTCTGCATTCATGAGGCACGACAATGATATTAGCGTATGCGAGCACTGCATATGAAGATCAAGCGACTAATTTTACCAATGCCCAAATATCACTCCGTGACGACATACGCCACACCGGTGTACATTTTGATTTCTTCATCCAGGAGGCGTGCCGGCAATCTGCACACACATGTCCCCTCGTTTGTCTCAGCATGCAGGATGCGGCTGAGCCTCACGCCGTCCACCAGGTGGCGCGCGGAGCTCGCGCGCCAACTCACCGATAACGTGCTGCCAGTAGGAGTACACCCCCAGCTCCGCCCGGTACTTGAGCTGGGTGAGCAGGGAGACCAGCCCCACGTACAATCCAGCGGCGCAGTACGAGGTGCTGCAGCACGACAGGACACAGGCCCAGCGGATCAGCACGCTTCCCTCAGGGGAACATTTGCATGCCACAGGAAGTGCTTTAAACTCCTGGGAGCTTCGAGGAAGCACTCTGAAGAAGGTATGGTATTGATCACTTGATATTCATCCGCACCGGTTGGGATGGTGGGGTCTCAGCTCGAGTTCAGTCTGCAAAAGTCTGTAATTGGCTAAAGTTTCAGACCAATTTAGAAGCGACATGACGGCGCTTCCGCTCGCGTATTGTCCTGTTCCAGTGACGCAAACATCCTATTTGTAATCCAGCTTTGCGTTGGAATCTCACGTTAACTTCTACTTTCTCTTTTAATGCAACGAGACACCTCCCAACAGCGCGGCTCTTCACTCCCCACCCATAAGTGCTTTCCACAGGTCAGCGATTGGACACGTGTTCTACAGCATAACCCCTCCACACACGTAACACGTTCTGGACGGCCCGCCACGCCCCGTGCCGGCATCGCAGCGAGCCCTTCAGAGCAAACGGCCCTCATGTGCGGCCAATGTGCACTAGCCAGCGGGCGCATCTCTCGCCGCACCGCGCATCGCACGGCTGCCCAGGCGCACCTGAATCCCAATAAGCCGGCGGTAATACCGCTCTAACGAGTCTCGGCCGCCAAATGACAGGTCGCTGCTGCCAACGAGCCTCCACGCCCGATAAAGCGGCGCTATGGTCCCCCTGGGGGGGCCTGGGGGGGGGGGGTACCGCGCCAGTACCGCCGCGCCGCCCGAGAGAGCGGTCGCGTCGCTGGCCGCGCCGCTCTGGTTCCACCGGCGCATAATGCGGCGCCGGACGGCTGCGCTAATGAAGCGAAAATGGCGCGACGCCAGTGAAGAAACGCGAAGCCGCAAATATTGCAGTTGCGCCAGTAGTCGTGCTGAGCAGCGTATCAACCTGCGTTTGTCAGACAACACTGCGGCATCCTATCATCGACGATAACCGGGCTGATTAGACCAGAAGCTCGGCCACGGGACGATCGGTTGTGGCAAGAGGGGTGAATGGATCTGGGTGGAATCGAAGTGTTTGATGCTTTTTCGCCATACGGCGCTTACAGCGTAACATTCAGTTCCGCCAGGGTTGGAGAAAACTTGCCTCCCATCCTGCCCCTTCTTCTGGAGTCCTTGAACCAAAACGCCTAGCTAGCAAATGTCCAAATGTCCAAAAGTCCAAATGTCGTAAACCATTTCACACAGTCAACGTTCGCAGCATTCACGACATAAGCACACTCGCATTTAGATGTCGGAAGGTGGTCGTGCGACACCAAAGCCATGTTGGTCCTGACATGATCCTTCACATTCCTGACATGGTCCTTCACCGTCACTACAATTCGTCGTTCATACACTGACCAGACAGGCCGTTGCAGCATCCACGAGCTTGACACTCACGCAGAGATGAAAAGAACAGGAGCGTTGGACGCGCTCTCATGCTGAAGCGTCCGCTGCACAAAGTCCAGTAGCGGCAGTGTGTCCTCGGGAAGGCCGAACTCTGGCCAGTATGTGTACTGGAAGAAGTTGACTCCCCTTTCCTTCTTGCTCCTGCTTGATTTACTCTGGAAACATGGCAGAAATAGCCTGTCGAACCCTAGGTTATCACCTAAGTGTCAAGTTCAGCACCCGTGCTGGCGAGAACGAGTGGTTTACAACTCAGCTCAATTCAACTTACGAGAACACTCGTCTTTTTAGTCGGCCTCTTTAGCCAGAGTATCAACAACACCACATCCACCCGGCACCACTTGAGCCGAGGCCATTACACGGGGCGCATTTGGAGGCAGTTCCAGCGCACTGAGACGTCGTAACGGCGCGGCGGCGCGTCCGGAGCCGGCCGCCCGGCCGTCCCGGCGCCGTTCCGGAGCGCGTCAGCGCCGCCCATGAACTGGGCCGACCGCCGACCATGTGTTTGTCCGCCGGCGAGCCGCGCCGGCCACCGCCCCAATGGATCCCCGGGGCCGGACGAGCCGGGCCGGGCGGGCGCGCGCGTCCCCGGGCGCCGGCCAAAGTGGCGCAGGTCCGGCGCGACCGGCCGTGTACACAGGCCCCGGCGCGGCGCGACCTCGCTCCGCCGGACCAGGGACGGGGACAGTGCGGCGTGGCAACAGCCAACCCGCCGACCGGCCGGCCGTCGGCCCGCCGGAGCTGCAGCGTCGTCCGATGTCGGCTAGGAGTGTGGATGACACGGTTTGCAGCAGATGCTGCACGTGGACCGTGTCGGTAGCAGGCGGGTGATTATGCCTCGTCTAAGGCGGCGTTGGGTTGCTGAGTCGGAGAGCCTTTTGTTTGTCCGCAGTGAGACTGATATGGCTGGCAAATCGGAGCAGATCGACAAAAAGGTGCCATTTCCCATACGGTGTTTTCCATTTCCCGAGTCCCCTCCGTGACATTACGCAACGCATTACCGTATTTGCTGCCGCGGCGTATGAATAAGCAATGCGCCATTTTCACAACAATGGTCTGCATCTTTTATCACTGCTACGCCTGTGATAAAATGCGCCGGGTGTTTGTCGTGTGTCCATTGTGCTCATAAAATGCTGCATGACGGTAAGATGGCGTGACAGGCATCGGTATTTCACGTGCCTTGATTTGTGTGACCCCATTCAAATGTGCTTATGAGGGCCCGTGATATCAGACTTACACTCCATCCAAAGATGGAGAGTGCTGAGGAATGCTACCGTAGCGACACTGCCACATAGGTGATCTTCCAACGGAAAAATGGTGAAATTATGACTGTTTTACCACGGCATATGCGTTGTGAATCGTACACATGCCATGCCGTATTCCCTACCCATGTTCCGTCGCGGTAATCCAGCGGCAAGAGACATCCCAAGTGGGCGCGACCGCTGCTAACACCATCTTTACACATTTACACGACACAACACTTTATCACGTATGCATGGGTGATTGGACCAGTGGGGCATCCCAGTCGCAGAATCGGCCCCGAGGCGGCCTCGGTCCCCGGCTCCCGACGATACTGCAGTCCATGGCCGTTGTGGCAGGTCAGCGCCGGAGTTAGACCAGCGGCAGATCAGCGGCAGACCAGCGGCAGACCAGCGGCAGACCAGCGGCAGACCAGCGGCAGACCAGCGGCAGACCGGCGCAGACCAGCGGCGGACCAGCGCCAGACCAGCGCCAGACCAGCGGCCCCGGCCACTTCCAGCTGAGCGAGCCGAGCAGCGCACACCCGCCAGCCGGCTGTTCTGGCAGCCTGCGTCTTCGGCAGCCACCGCGCCGAGAGCCTGTTCCGCTCCCGGGGTCGTGGTCCGTCAGGTCGGCCCGGTCCGGGGACCGTGGTTCCGTCAGGACGGCCTGGTCCGGGGGCCGTGGTTCCGTCAGGACGGCCCGGTCCGAGGACCGTGGTTCCGTCAGGACGGCCCGGTCCGGGGGCCGTGGTTCCGTCAGGACGGCCTGGTCCGGGGACCGTGGTTCCGTCAGGACGGCCTGGTCCGGGGCCGTGGATCCGTCAAGACGGCCTGGTCCGGGGGCCGTGGATCCGTCAGACGGCCCGGTCCGCGGCGGCCGTGGTTCCGTCAGGACGGCCCGGTCCTCCGGGGGCCGTGGTTCCGTCAGGGCGGCACGGTCCGGAGACCGTGGTTCCGTCAGGACGGCCTGGTCCGGGAGCCGTGGATCCGTCAAGACGGCCTGGTCCGGGGGCCGTGGATCCGTCAAGACGGCCTGGCCCGGGGGCCGTGGTTCCGTCAGGTCGGCCCGGTCCGCGGCGGCCGTGCGCGGCGCCCGGCGGCGGCCGTGCAGGCGATTGCAGAGTCTGTGTCACGACCCCCGCGGCCCTATACACCGATCGCTAATGCTCTGCACATGGCTGAATACCGCCGCATGCAATCATGACGTGCACTTTGCCGGCGTCGCGTGCCCGAAATGCATTACGAGGGCCGGGTGATCGTGAATCATTGCGTCCGATCGCCGGACCTGAATTCGATTAACCTCGAGACATGTCGCAGAATTCAGCGTGACCGGGGCGGCTGATGTGCTTAAACGAGTGATGCCGGCGTGCTTGGGGTAGCGGCACGCCCTGCTGCCGGGCCGTTGTCACGCAATGTTTCCAAAATGTCGGAGTAGAGGTTTTGTGGAAGGCGCGAGCTCCAAGCGGCCCTGGCTGTTGTCCAAGGAACCAAATCCCTCCGGGTATTGAGACTACTTTTACGCCGGTAAAATTGCATTTTGCCGGTCCGGACTGAAATAAAATCGATGACTGGATTCATTGAGTGACTCTCCCGTAAGCCCCGACGCGGCAAATGGAAAACTTGGCCCGTTATAAAGTCCAGGAGCATGGCACGGCGGCAGGCGTACCTTTAGCTTTGATACGACCAGCTTCCGGACGCAGCAGGCGGCCAGCGGCAGCTCCTCGCGGTGTTCCACCTGAAGGTCGCCGAAAGGTCGTTGCGCCCCTCGCTCGGGCCAGAGCCGGCCGCCTTTCGGCTGCAACAGACGCCGCGCCGTCACTGGACGGAAGCGACGGGACGGACGAATGACAGGCGATGCAGGAGGACGTGTGCACGCCTCTGGCACGCACGCCTCTGCAAAACAACATCATGCGTGGTGCGATGTCGTGGGAGACTTTGACAAGGATGGAGCTGCGTGAGACGCTTGTCTGGGAAGACGAGTTCACGTGGAGCGCAAGAGTAAGCTCCCTGTGCAGCATGATGCGCTATGTGAGCATGCATAATTTTATGCGCGAGCCACAGCCACTGATAATCCAACATCGTCCACTCCCAGTGAAATGAAGCAGTCAGCCTCACTGTGGGCGTCCGAAGTAAGTGGCACAGTATTTATGCCACCGACTGAGCCTAGCTTCAAAGGCATTGTATGTGGCCTAAAGGGATCGTGGCGAATTATTCAAATACCTGCGGCGGCTTTGATTTAAGTCGGCGGATAAGTGCGAAGCCCGCTACGCATCGGCAGCCAGCATAAACCTTCTTTACGATGCACCGAAGTGGTGACCGGCCTCATTCTGTGCTGGAAAACGGATCTCAGTGCTGGAGACACTTTTGAAAAGACTGAATGCCACCGCAAATTCCCAAGTCGGTGTTGATAACACATCGCCACAGTGCGAGGCGGCTTTTTGTCGTGACGGCTGCATCAGGACTAGCCGTCTAGCCTTTGTGTCTGGCCAGTTCCATCCCACCATGTTTTCCGCAGACAGGCTGCACTCAGTGACGTCTGGCTTTAAAAAGTGGTCCCAAATCCTCAGTGAGCGTATTCCTTACGACAGCCTTAAACGACGCAGTGATGCAGACGCACACTTTTTGTATTTTTCAATATTTAAACCCCGTTTTAAATCACATATGATCAGATGCAATATGTTTTGCTTGCCTGGATGAGGTGGGAGCTCGAAACGCTCCCTCGGCGGCCGGCACCGATAATCTCATCGCTAGGTTGTCGGAACTCTAGGCAAACGTGTTACAAAACCACCCCGCACGCTCCCTCCTCTATAGCAGCGGGTAAAAATTCAGGCAGAGACAAAAATAATAGCGAAAGCATTGCTGTCATCGCCATCATATGACGTCATTTACTGCGCTTTGGTTTAAGTGATTCTCTGTTGAGTCGATGCCACTGATGCTTCGTCCACCATATATTATCACCCTGCAGACACCACAGGTGTTGGGTCGTCTGCGTCATCCGCTTCGTGCAACTTAGATCAAAGATGTATCTATTTTTGGCAGGCATTCCGTCAAAGGCTCACGAACCTAAAATATGTCACAAGGAAATGTGGCTCACGTATTCGTAACGCAAAACTAGCAGACATCAGTGCAGCACGTGTTTCTGAACCTAATCTTAGCCTGCAACATGACATATTAAGCGATTCAGTTGCAAATCATCGTTGCTTACATAATGCCATTTCTGGTCCGCATTAATAACGGTCGTTCTGGGGCAATGGGAGAGAGGCCTGAGCGTCATGCCATTGCCACCTGCACTGACTAAGGCCCGCGTCACGGGCAGCCACGGGCGTCACCTCACTCCCACCCAGCACCAGTCCACCCGGTCCTCCCGGCCCTCCCGACCCTCCCGGTGCGCCCAGTCTTCCCATTCCCCGACGCGTTCAATCCACTCAATCCACCCAGTCCTCCCAACCCTCCCGGTCCTCCCGACACCCCGGACCTCCCGACCCTCCGGGTCCTCCCCACCCTCCCGGTCCTCCCGACCCTCCGGGTCCTCCCGACCCTCCCGGTCCTCCCGACACCCCGGACCTCCCGATCCTCCGGGTCCTCCCAACCCTCCCGGTCCTCCCGACCCCCGGTCCTCCTGACCCTCCGGGTCCTCCCGACCCTCCCGGTCCTCCCGACCCTCCCGGTCCTCTCGGTGCGCCGGGTCTTCTCATTCCCCCGGTGCGCCCAGTCCACCCGATCTACCCGGTCTTCCTAGCTTTTCTGGTGTGCCCGGTCCTCCCAGTCCCCCCGGTGCGCTCCGTCCACTCAGTCCACTTGGTGCGCCCAGTCCACTCGGTCTATCCAGTGCGCCCGTTCCACTCGGTCCACCCGGTGCACCCGGTGCGGCCAGTGCCCCTCCCCCAGTCCCCCCGGTCCCCCAGGTCGGGCAGCCTGGCCGGTGGACGCCACCGGTACATGCCTGCCGAGCCAGCGCCGCGTACCTCGAGCGTCCCGATGAGCACCAGCGTGGTGACGCCCTGCTCCCAGACCAGCCGCCAGAGGGCGTCGTGGCTGGCCGCGCTCGGCCGGTCGGTGACGATGAAGGCGCGCGCGCGCTGGTACCCGTCCACGTAGTAGGCGGCCGGAGTCGGCCGGTGGCGGTACAGGCGGGACGTGATCGGCACGCGTGTCGAGTAATCTGTGGCAGGCGCCAGACGTCAAGATCGGAGCGTGCCGCTGCATCAGCGGCGTGCGATAAACACGCCTGTTTAGCTTATGTGGCTGTTAGAGGATGGATGCTGGACCTCACATGAGGGGAACCAGTACCCTCCGTGCCAGCCATTGCGGGTTATTTCGCAATAGTAGCCTGATGTATGTGCACTAAAGCGTTATGGAACAGCATCCTTGGTTGCCAGTCCGGAACACGCATGAGTTTTGGGATTCAAGGAACGTATGAAAACGAATAGACGCGTCGAGCCTTCGTCTCAAGCCTAGCTGCCTAAGCGTTGATATGACACGTGCGATCGACATTTCACCACACTCGTGAAGCACGCCAGGATATCAAACCACGTCGTACATTCATTGCCACACAGGTGCCACACTGTTCACATTAATCGGGGCTAGCGATCGTGCACCACATTTCAATGAAAACGCATCTTACTATTCACGCCTTAAGGAGCACTCACAACTCCCCGTCGAGGCATCGCTGGCCGCTGTCTGTCCGTTCTTCTGCGCGGCGCCACTAGTCCGTGCGTCGTCCGCCAGGGGCGCTGCCATCTGCAGCATCTCCCACTCGCGCCGGAAGCCGTCGTCGGCGTCGGCGTGCTGCTGCCGCACATGCTGCGAGAACAGGTGGGACGGCACCGCCTCGTGGGCAGGCGCGCCCCAGCCGGACAGGACCGAGCCGGCCACCGACGCCGCCATCTTGTCGGCCGTTTCGGCCGGGTAGCGTTTCTGGCGCCGCCTGGTGGCGGCGAGACACAACGACGGGTCAGCCTGGGGGTAGTGCGGGGTCGCTCATCGCCACCAAGCGGTCTTACGCAGGTCTCACACTGGGGGAGGGGGAGAGAACGTCTGAAATGGCGAATGGGTGAAACCAATTCGTGAGGATAATCAAATCTCCCCGGGCATCAAGTAGGACTGAAATAATGCAGTGTAGGTCATACCATCTCACTCTTTGTTTTCCTATGCTATCCCTGATAATAAATTGGTGAACTAGTCTTCCTGTTCGACGTACAATGTGGATAACATCAGGGAGGCTGCCTCCATGTTATATGCGCTCATTTGAGCATCACTCCCCTTAGCACATGCCTAACCCTTAGCTATTTAATTCGCCTCTGCTGAGCTGTGAGTGCGCTCAATTCAACCGCCATCTACATCCTTCGTCAGGCCACAATGTTGCCTTGGGAAAAGATTACAATGTATTTGTTATCCTGCCGGTGTTTGCCATATTTTGCATGTCAAGGTGAATGCCGTCAGATTGAAGTGTTTGAACCGGTTACACCAATATTTACGCCGCGGTCAACGGCGCCGTGACGGAAAATAGACCCACGACGACAACTATTTTCTGCCGGAGCCGCTGTGACCTGACTCGAATCAGAAAGCAGGTCACGTCACCACCACACGGCAGTCGGCGGCATCAGACAGTGCCTAATGCGCCGCTCCCCTGAGGTCATCATAAACTTTCCTGAATGAGTTCACCTCGCTCTGCACATTTCCGTGTTCCCGTCTCTCCGTCCTGCCGCGGGGCTCTCCGATCCGGAGCTGGCCACAATTACAGCGGAGCTTTCCCGAGCCCGCCTCCGGTCACAGCGCCGGCTGCAAAGCGGCTGGCAACAACTGGCGGCGCTCACCCGAGCCCGCGTCCGGTCACAGCGCCGGCTGCAGAGAGGCTGGCAACAACTGGCGGCGCTCACCCGAGCCCGCGTCCGGTCACAGCGCCGGCTGCAGAGCGGCTGGCAACAACTGGTGGCGCTCACCCGAGCCCGCCTCCGGTCACAGCGCCGGCTGCAGAGCAGCTGGCAACAACTGGCGGCGCTCACCCGAGCCCGCCTCCGGTCACAACGCCGGCTGCAGAGTGGTCTTTCTGTCGCTCGCGGCTCCAGAAAGCCCTGCTTAGCACGGCCTCGCTGGTGAGCTCTTCACGGTCCGGCGGTCGACCAAAGCTTCAGGCGGCGCCGGGGCCGGGACAGTGCGCTGCGGGGCCGGGGCCGGGACAGTGAGCTGCGGGGCCGGGGCCGGGACAGTGAGCTGCGGGGCCGGGGCCAGGACAGTGCGCTGCGGGGCCGGGACCGGGACAGTGCGCTGCGGGGCCGGGGCCGGGACAGTGCGTTGCGGGGCCGGGACCGGGACAGTGCGCTGCGGGGCCGGGGCCAGGACAGTGCGCTGCGGGCCCGGGACCAGAGCGGTGAGCCGTGGGGCCGGGGCCGGGACGATGAGCCGCGGGACCGGGGCCGGGACGGTGAACAGCGGGACCGGGGCCGGGGCGATGAGCCAAGGAACCGGGACCGGGGCCGGGACGGTGAACAGCGGGACCGGGGCCGGGGCGATGAGCCAAGGGACCGGGGCCTGGGCAGTGAGCCAAGGGACCGGGGCCGGGACGGTGAACAGCGGGACCGGGGCCGGGGCGATGAGCCAAGGAACCGGGGCCTGGGCAGTGAGCCAAGGGACCGGGGCCGGGACGGTGAGTCGCGGTACCGGGGCCGGGGCGATGAGCCAAGGGACCGGGGCCGGGGCGGTGAGCTGCGGGCTGGGGCCAGGGCGGCGAGCCGTGGGGCGGGGGCGGGGGCCGGGGCCGGGCCAGGGCGGTGAGTCGGAGAGCCGGGGCCGGGCCGGGGTCGCCGTACGAGCCGCACTCGGCCGGTCGTTGCCGGCGCCGACAGCGGCCGCCGATGCGGCTGGCCGTGTCGCGCCGGCGCCGCCGCCATCAGCCGCTAACGGCCGGCGCCGCGGCCGGCCGTAAATTAACGCCGCGCGGACGGCCGGGGCCGGACATGGCACGGGCCGGGCCGGGCCGGGCCCCCAGCCAACAGAGACGGTCGTGTTGCTCTGCAGGGGTACGCGCGTCGGTCTGCGGCGTCAGTTGCCATACCCGGGCGTTACAGCCCCGACGGAGGTAGCCAACGAGCTTGCCGTGTCAAACTCCGACGTATGTACTGTGCTATGTTGCTGGCTATGTATACCATGGGATGGTTAGAACCTCCCAGTCTTCTAGGGAGGCTCGAACCTTCCTGCTCTGCTACTATGCTCTGGGCTCCAATTTATAAGACGTGAATTTAACTTTTGGCTATCGTTTTTCTATAAAACCTTGATTTCATCCCCTAATTTCTTTAGAACCGCTAAATGCAAATATTTAAAACAATTAACATTAACCATGTTGCACGTCCCCTTATTCTGAAAAGGCTCCATCTCGATACCAAAATTAAGTACTTCAGGCCTTCAACAAGTCAACAGGTTTTCATTTACGCAGAATTCAGAGCGCGGCACGTCTGTGAATACGTGCTCGGGGCGAGTCTTTGTCAGGGCAAGTCGTTGTCGGAAACACAATGCTATACATACCAAGGCCATGCTCTCTCCACTCGCATCAAAAGCCCGTTTCTGATTCGACGTCGCTCATGCGCTAAATCGTTCGCCTTTCGAGCTTTGCAGCGCCGCTCGGGCAGCCGCGGCTGGCCCGGGCCATCGCTCTCCGCGCGGCCGTGAGCGGCGTTTGCGCTGACGTGTTTTTATGGGCGTCGCTCTGGCGGCCGGCCGGAATGGATGGTCAGCCGCGGGCCGATGGCAGGTCACAGTTAGGCGACACCGGCGGCCCCGGCCGGCGAAGTGGGCGGCCGCCGGCCGGAGACGCCCGGCCGGCCGGCGGCGCCGCCCGGCTAGGTCAGGCCCGCCGGCCGGCCGCCGGTGCGCCCGCCCAGGTCAGGTCCTGCCTGCCGGTGGCGGTACTAGCGGCCCGCCGCTGCGGCCACCGCTGCAGCCACCGCTGGTGCCGCCGCTGATGCAGCGTTAGTGGCGAACAGGAAAATGGTGCTAGTGGTCATTTCGGAAAAAGGGGATGGAACGACGGCACTCGAGGAGGGGAGGGGAAGTCATCTTGGATTTAAACGTTCTGAAAGGTAAAGCATCGCATTCGTTTTAGCACCGCTAACATGTGCGTTGAAGAAAGATAAGGAAGTGGAATTACTTTCAACATCCTGTTTTCAACGGGTATAGCGCAGGCATCCCTAGGCTGGAAGTGATGACCGCTTCCTTGTTAATTATGTAATTGCCAAAAGATTTTAAACTGCCGCAAAAACTGGCATGTGTCTGTCTTAATGTGATAGCGCTGTTATGACCTGCAATCACAGCCCACGACCTGTCCTAATTCCGTGATTTAGTTGATGTTTCTCACGCTCTTCAGCGACAAAACAGCTTCAACATCCCTTCCTCCTTTCTTGGTCGAAAGCGCGTGAGGGTGGTGCCTGGCGCGCAACATGCTGACTTCCTGAGCGGCTTGGCGGCCTTTGAGAATTCATCAAGCTATTATTCGCCGGTGCCGGGCTGCAAATAGTTGGCAGCCCGCCATAAATTACACAAACTGCGCACGCAGATGGGAGCTGTGATGGCCTCGCCGGCAGGAGCGGGGTGCAAATGGCTTAACCAGGGCGTAATTACTCATGAGCGAAGTGTCGCAGCGAGGTGATGGTTCAACAAAATAGTACGTCACTACGGCTGTGGCCTTGGGTGCCTCAGTGCGCTCTGTCTCTCGCTGTATCTCTGCAAACAGCACCGAACGGATTTTCGCTTTAGTATTGATTAGCTTCACCGCCGGAGGCGCTGGATGAATGCCAGTTACCCGAGCCGGGGAGGCAGGGTGGGGTTATTGCACCTCACATAATCTCGAGAACAGGAGTGATTTACTTGTTAAAGTAGCGATCGATAGTTCTGGGTCGTAGGACACGAATGGAATCATTTGAAAATAACTTTCAGTCACTTCTGTCCCTAAAAGCCCCCTGGTTTGGCGAGGTACAGTTCGCAGTCCACGAAAGATGCCTGTGCCTTATGACCACACTGCGTGATGCGGCATGGAGCCAGACACGTTCTTAATGGTCAAAACACAATGAACGGTTCGGTTTCATTCCTTGCTGTCCCTGTGTAACTGAACTGATCTCATATCACGGCTGGAAACAAAACGGGTCAGGCAGTGTTTCGCAGGAATCAACAATCACGTGCAATGTAATTTGCTGGGACGGTGCTTCACGAAGCGCTTGGATTACTGTCTGCGGATCTCCTGCTGTGATGTTGGACAAGTCCTGCTGGTGGACAAGTCCCTAATTTGTTCGTCAATTTGTGATAGGTTCTAAAGGTAAATCGTAAAGATAAATATCTCCAAGCAGTCACGACAACTGATATCAATTGATCACAACACACGAGTAATCACAACAAAACACGGTCACGGAGTCTTGACCGTGCTTCTCGGCTGCGAGATAACGCGGGATGTTGAGCGAGCGCAAAGAGCGCACTCCACAGAAAAAAAAACATCATATCGGTCACTTAGACCCGGTTAGCACATGACCTTGATCACATGTAAGGTCACATGAGGTCATCCAAAGGTCAACGACCCCTGCTTTCAGTAGCGAAGAGGCCAGATGGACGAGTACGACGCGTGGAACTACCTCTCTATCGTGCTTGTGAAGCTGGTGACGTATAATTTAATATCCCAACGTGCCTTTTCTCAGGTTGTTGGATACGTATTGCCTGCGTTGAAGGGACTGTTAATAATGTATGAAAGAGCTGTGCGATGTTAAGAATCTGTAGATATACAACACAAATTTATGACCACTGAAAATCATTGCACTAATCACTTACAACCAGTCAACACTTCATGGTTTCATTTGAATGTTTCGTGACTTTGACCTAAGTTAACCTCAGCTGAGCTCTAGGTCAGCCTGAAATTTTATTTTTGTGTCTCGGATGCTTTTGCCCACAGCTACATTTAATAAGATACACTTAGTCAGAAACGCATTGGGAAAAATATGAAGCGTCATTCTTGTACGCTAATGGTAGACAATTTTGAACGGTGTCCTGACCTGACGTAACCCTGGTGAGAAACAATATGGTCACAGTTGACTCCCTACAACGCTAACGCTTACTTTTGTGCCACCAGTATTCTTTTTGACCTATCACCACATGTTTTAACTGGATCTATCAGAATGACCGTTTTTTCGTGATCCTTGGTGACCTCACATCTGACCTGCGGTCAAAAATTTGGTGTGCATGCTTCATGACTTGACAAGACCTTCACAACGTTATCTTTTTTACCTCATGCGACGTATGGAAGTTGGAGATCCAAGTGTCCGGTGTCGGGAAAACGCGACGAAGTCTGGTTTTATTCATTAACCCTCTCGCTGATAGCGGGCTAATGATATGCCCCCCCACGCTAAGATCTTCTGAACATACTTCTCTGGCCTGTCGCGCGATCACGCCCAAATTTTTGTTAGCTTCTAGGTCATCTACTGGGCATGTTTTGACAACAAAAACATGTGTCTAGCACCTGGTTTTAGAGCGGCGGCGCTATTTTTCAGGAACACTGCACGGCGATCGACGGGCGGTGCGCGAGCGGCGGAAGAGGGCTGATGATTCCACGAACAGTTCGCGGCCGGCTGACATTGCTACGTTAACCCACCATACTTTATAAACATATGCTCAAAAGATATAAAGATATATGCCATTGTACTTACAATTGATCGAGAAATATGTCCGATTAGGTTCCGTGTCGCTAAGAGGCATAATCTCGTTCAGATGAGCATGTAGAACATGTAGAGCATGAGCATGAGTGCGATTATCGGAACAGTTTGACATATGACCTGGCATAAGGGCGTCAAACAACATCAAACCTGTTGTAAATCCCGAGATCTTGTTAAGATCACTTCACTGGTGTTTTCGCTAAGCCTAATCTTTCTTATTTTAGAGTGACAGGAAGCACGCGTCAATCCTCTCTTTCAGGCCACGCTACAAAACGCGGTGAATCAGGCCCAAGGTTAAGGCCCTCCAGTGACGTTCAAAATCAGATCTAACTCGATATTTGCGACAAAAAAGCTTTTCAGAGGGAATGACACCACTTTTCAAACTCTGTCGGAGCAAATCATGAAGTGAATGAGAAGCTTCGCAAAGAGTCGTCTAAACCGACCTCATTTTAAGCTATTGACCCGCACGAAGCGATCTATGTCACCGGGGAATCGGCCAGTTCATATAACATCTATGAATAAGTTAGACAGCACATTTCCATCGCACTCGTAAAAGTATCATCCCGTGTCAATAACTGGCAAAATGTCAAGATGTGGGTAGCATAAATGGCCCCGTAAGTCTGTGGGGTGGAGGCATCACTCAGTGACCTTACATGAGCCGCAATCCCATTTTCCGCAAAACTACGCATTGAAAGCTCTATCAGATATGCCAGTGCCACAACATTATTGTCAATGTTAAAATGTGTATGTGCGAAATTAATGAAACATTGTAGCAATGTTGTGCTCCACGGCGCTGTGGTCATTTAGCCTTTCCCACAGTCTAAGCAACATCGCGTGGGAAGTAACATGATTCTCACTCCTCGCCGGGCGAGGGTTGATAATGTCCCGACAAAATACGAGTTATGCTGGGATTAGCCAAGCGTGGGAAGCCTCGAGATAGCTGAACCCGTGTGACCTTTCCTTATCATATATATCATTCGAGACGTCCGAGAAGGGCTAGAATTTATATTCATCGAATAATAACACAGCTAAGAGCTTTACCGTAAGCCGTGGCCTGCGGTTGGCGTGGCCTACCACATAGCCTTGCACATGACCTACCGCATCACCTACCGCACGACCTACCGCATGACCTACCGCATGACTTATTACATGACCAACCGCATGCCTACCGCACGCGATACATGCATGCGGCATGCATGTATATAAGTGGCAGTGTCCCAACAGAAAGTCACGTGTTCTGAGAGCATTGCCGAGTGCCAGTGATTTGACGTTCCCCATACAGTGCGCATGGGTGAACAAGACATTGTTGACCAATCAGGCCGCTTGCGTCTCAAATTACAATAAATATGTTACTTCCTGTCATTCCCAAACCGCGCATGCGCTGGTCGCGAGTTCGAAGTCTTGGTGGGCTCGCTGACCTCCAGATGACGGCGGTGATGACGAGGAAGAGGACGAGCAGGCAGCCGACGAAGATGCCAGTCACCTCTGAGCCGGCCAGCGTAGTGTGCGGCCGATGCTTCCACGTGCTGTACAGCTGAATCTCCTCACAGCCACGCTCCATGCGCACCTGAACGGCCCGGACGACAGAGGTGTACCCGAGTTGTGGGTCTTACACAGCTCACACAGACTCAGACCTCAGCAGGGCGGCAATGTCACCACAAGTAGGGGAGATGTGATGAAGGAAAAGGGCGAGATAGGAAAAGAGAGTCCGGTGTGTCTGATGCACGTGCCTAAGGTAGCTGTAACTCCAGACGACATTCATGCAAACCAAATCAGACGTGTCAGACCCTGAACAGAAGAGGTAGTTCCCAGTTTGCGAAACAATCATAAACGGATTACACGTGCACATACATGATAATAAGAAGGTCGGCTAATCCAATAGATGATTCAACTAAAGCGTGTGCAGCTATGCAGCAGCACAATAAGACATTAACAAATTATGCCGCGGAAGAGAAGGGACTATCATGAGCAAGGATAGGAAACATTAACGGCACAACACATTTCCAACGACCAAATTAGCAACTCTTCCAGCGCACATTAAGCCTAACTTTCCCGGTGCGCGTTAGTTCTAAACGTCACCCAGACCTGCCACCGGGCCCCGTCCTGTATTGGGGAGCGGCCCCCAGCGGTGAGGCGGCGAACTTCTGTCAATAGCGGCCGGCCTGAAGTTGGCCCACGAATGGATCACCCACCCCACGTGACCACACAGCCAAGTTTCGAGGCGGCACGCCGCAGCCCCCTCCCCTCCCCTCCCTCACTCGCATCAAGCCGCTAATTGGAGACAACGGCCGGCGCGAAAATAACCAATTTCGGCGCGTCTCGGCCGCGAGGATCGATGCCGTGAGCAGCCAGCGCCGGCCAGTGCCATACGCGTAAAGCACGCTGCGGCGCCGGCCGGATACCGCGGCTCCTTAGGCTCGTCAAGCGGGGCGGAATCGAACGGACGGCTCCCACCAGCTGCGCCCGATCCTATGCAGACACGGCGGGCGGTGCGCGCAATTTACGAGGCGGTGTAGTGCCGGCCGAGAGTTAATACGGAGCTGCGAACGCCCTCGGCCCGCGTTGAATGAACCTGCCCGGCAGATGAGCCTCAGAAGGCGGCAACATTGCAGCGCCGGAAGATGCTCCCACGCGCCCCTGTTGCGACGGATGAAGAGCGCTGCGAAAACAATATCGCCACGAGATGTTGTCTGGAGCGGCTTATGGAACAGCATCTGGGTCGATAGCGCCGAGGGACAGCGGTGCCGAGGATGAGAGGGCCGCGTCGACAAAAGTCCTGCAGAAGAGGGGATGGCGGGCACTTGAGAACGTCCGTTGGTTCTGCATAATAGCCTTGAAGTATGAGGTGCTCCCTCCTGAACGATGCTTCCATCATTGGCGATTGATGAATAACGTGAGGATTGGTGTTATCAAAGAAAGTCACGTGTTTTAATCGTAAGTCGTGCATAAATTTCCTGGCTGTGTACATTCTGTATTATCCAGGAGAATAGTTTCCTGTCCATTTGGGGAAGAAGGCTCCATCACCCCTCCCCAAATTCGGCTCAAGCCCATTAACTTTTGATAAGAACGTGGGCCAAATCCAAGAAAACGCCGCGCCTGTTGACCTATCTATACGGGGGTGGCAGCATTATTTCCAGGGTGCAGACCCCCCCCCCCCCCCACACCACCAACTCATTTGCAAAACTGCGCCCCTGGCGTAGGCGTAGTACTGGCCAAGAGTTCATGCGAAGCGGCGAACACCGAATGAACCTGACCGGCGGATGAGCCCCACAAGGCGGTGATGTTACAGGGCCGACAGATGCTCTATATCTACTTCACCTACACCCATTTTACGAAACTACTCCCCACACCACCACACTTCTGAGAGAATCGGACAGACAGGGCAATAGCTTTATTCCCTTGAAGGGAATGCTCCGCATTTAAAATTATTGAAGGAAGCATCAGGTGTAATGAAATAAGTTCATATATTCCATGTATCAAATAAGTACATATTTAAATATTGGCATCCTTTTAAGTGGAGAAGACTGCTGTGAGCAGCCCAATTTTCTGTTTGATAAGCATGTTTCTCAAGATGTCGTTGTCTTAATTACATCATGGCACGTTACACAACATTGATTAAGAGCTAGTTGGCTGGCCATCATATATGGAAACCGTGCTCACGTGCTCCAGATTGGACCGACTCGACAATTACATTTTTATTGGCCTTGATCGCAGCGTGGCTAATGGAATGGCGGGGCTTAAATGACATTATAGGGTCATGGTTGCCTGAGTGAATTTAAAATAGTCTGCAAGAAAAAGTGTGCACATCTTCGCGGTGGTGCTGCTCAGAAACCAGAAGGGTTAATGTCTTAAGAAGAGTAACTCTGCGACCTGCACCAAATCAACTTCATGATAGCTATTTCAGTCCAAAATCCCATACAAATGTGAAACACTCCCATTAAGCTGTAAATGATGCAATGCATGACCATCAATCGTTATTCAACTCATCTTGCCAAGCTCCGATCTGCGAGAAAGGAGGAAGACGGGGCGCCAATAATGAGGCCCCAAATCGCACACCATGAGTTTGAAAAACTGCCACTGTTACTGCGGTTACTTCCACTGCCACCCCTGTTAAGCTTCCCTGGTATTCAGAAGTTTGCTTTGCAACATTTTTTTAGGTCGAAGTTAGGAAGATTCGATATGTTTGTGACAATGACTACACCTTTTTGGACTTAGGCTCCCAAAGCCGGTACTTCCGCCCTCAAGCCGGTGTTTCTGCCCCCAAGGTGGCGCTCTTCATGCGCCCCTGCACCTTCGGCACCGAGTGGGACCATCCTGGAGAGCCTGGTACTCTGGCCGCGGACATTCCCGTTCCTGCCTTGAACTGGCACATACCGGGTGATTCGCATATAGCATACATGCTGAGGGTTTACGCGTCTGCATAACTATGCCTGCTAGTTAGCCGGATCACGTTTCCCCTGATAGTCTCACCGTACGAGTCCCTTTCCAGCCCGCGTGGCTGTAGGGGATAACACCAATGTACTAAGAATGTAGCGTTGGCATGAGGGGACCGCAAGGGCGGGGCTCCCGACCTCACCTAGCCGTGACCTCAACCTACCTCCGTGACCTGAGGCCACCATCTTGACTTGACCCTTCCCCGTGTCCTTGGCCTACCACCTTGACATGGAGCTGCCACCCCGACCCCAAGCTGCCACCGTGACCTGAAACTACCGTCGTGAGCTGAATTGGCGCCTACCTTTCTGGGCAGAGACTGCTGACCGTTGTAGACCTTGTTGCGGTCCAGGCGGGACACGGTCGCTCCCTGGATGCGGATCTCGTACACCTGGTTGGCCGTCAGATTGGGCAGATTGATCTGAGGCAGAGGGGGAGAAGGACGTCAAACAGACCCGGGCGGCAGCTGTCGCCCGGCCCAACGCTGCGCACAGTGAGACGGTGGCGGCAGCATGGGACACAGCCGACGGGCGCGGGCCAGGGGAGAGGTGGGATCCCACTCCGAGGACCAAGCGCCCGATGCCACCAAGGGCCAAGCGCCCGATGCCGCCAGGGCCAGGCGCCCGATGCCACTAAGGGTCAAGCGCCCGATGCCACCAAGGGCCAAGCGCCCGATGCCACCAAGGGCCAAGCGCTCGATGCCACCAAGGGCCAAGCGCCCGATGCCACCAAGGGCCAAGCGCTCGATGCCACCAAGGGATGAGCGTCCGATCCCAGCCGCTTAGGATCAGGTCTGTGTCACGGCTCAGCCACCGCGGTTACCAGCCGGAACCCGGAAGCTTCCGGCTCTGGTGACCGCGGCCCCAAGAGTGGCGAGATTATGAGTCTGCCTCAGGATCTGGAGTTTTCCGGGATCGCTGACATGGTCCCGCACCGGGAGCTAGGAGCACGGGCCGGGTGCCGGTCGTCAGCCATCGAGAGCTGCACGGGTCGTAAAATGGAGGGCTGGAAATATTGCCGAACCATGCGATGAACACTCCACCGCGGAGTTTGTCACAAGTCGCTTCCACCACGCAGTCGTGCTCATTGCTGCACTACCTTGTAACGAACGTAACAAGGACAAGAAGCCGCACAGAGATATACGCAACTGCATGCAGTTTGATGGGTTATTGGACATGGGTCACAATGTTATAAACAAAGTCAGAAAACGCATCTGGGATGCATAGCACCTGGAAGGCAGTTGAAATCATCCGTCCATCCACACGTGGAGCTGCACTTTATAAGTAAGTGACATATGGGGCTGGGTAAAGATGTAATTGTCATGTGAGACCCGAACGAGTAACAAATTCTCAAACTGCTGTCAGTTTTTACGTTAGCGCTGTGACCGCAGATTACAGATTTGGTACAGAGTCCAAAAAGCGGCTGATGACTAAACGCTCAATTGTGGGCGGTTGCTGCTAGCATGGTTTTTCCTGCCGGCTTATCTAAGACACTATTTTAATCGCTTCACATTATTTAGTGAGGTTTTTTAAAAAAGACAGCCGTCATTTAAACCCGACATAACGTGTCTCCGTCGTGTATTTTTAAGATATTAAATACGTTGTTGAAGATCTCCACACCGCCATCCATTCAAGCAGTTTCAGTTATTTGGATTCTAAATACTGGCTGCCGACCCTCAAACACAGTTTGCTGGTAAAATACCTGCTACTGAGAACTTCTCTTACAGTTTGAACTAAACTTTGGCGCAGCAGGTAAGCGCCACGCCTTAATGGGCCTGGGTGCGGTCGATTGAAGGGGAGTAATGACAATGAACGATTGCTGACCGATGCGATACTGAGTGCACCATATTGACCATCACTTAAACACTTGTTGCCTTCATATGCTGCCAGCAGCGTCTCGTGCACGTACAATGCGGCCTGGAACTCAGGTTGAAGTTTCCGGTTGAGTCCCAGGTCATTTTCGGACGCCTCATAAGCCCGAAATTATATCCAACCGGTCTAACATGTCGTCCTCAGGACTGTGAACACGCCCTCAAGGACAGAAAATATGCTAAAAGACCTAACAATGCAACCATGGCACATGATAAAACAGGCCGTGGTCTGAAAAGTGCACCAGACCTGGTAGAAGGGGGCTATTTGAAGGCTGAAGGTACGTTGTAGGTCAGAAAAGTCTAGTTGACCTTAACCAACGTTCCACAGGTCTAAAAATACACCCGTTAGCCCTCACAGCACGCCCCCACATAGAAAAGACGGTCATAAACATTGACATTGCATCCAAAAAATATATCCGCAACCTGAAAATGTGCCTAAAAATGCCCCCTTAGACTCACAAAGACGCCCTTAGACCGGAATATGAGACCTTCGGGCTTCCCAAGGTCACCTGCCAATGCGTTTTTGCAGTTCAAAAGATGCTCCCAAAAGATGAAAAAAGATTAAGTATGTTGAATGGATGCGCTGCCTGAAAAGGCATGACAGAGAGGTTCAAAGATCAAGGAGAGTTAAAAAAGGCAAGCAAATTACGAGTTGCATTTTTGTTTACCCCATAGCTCCAAAATGGGGGATCTGCGGTACAAGCGAAACAAAACATCACTGGTGGTTACGCATCAAAGAAAGCGGGAGGACCTGAAAGCAAGGGCTCCAATTTATAGGTCAATCCTCAAGTATTAAAATGCGTGTTGACAATTAGTATATGATGAGCAGTGCATAGAGACGCTATTTGACCGAAACTCTCTTGGAAAGTGTGTCAGTCTTGAACAATCCCACACATGCATGGTAAATATCGACATCAAGTCGGCATAGATTATAACTAGTTATGGCATGCATATTCCTTTGAATAGGCGAAAGGACGCCACATTTTCGGACTGACAATTCGTGGCATGAGATATATATATATATATATATATATATACATATATGTATATATATACATATATATATATACATATGTATATATGTATATACACGTATATCAGCACGTGGCGACATTAGTTTTTGCGTCAGGGTCGGTAAGTTATCGCATCTTACCAGCGCTGCCGATAATTTTTGACCCGCCGCACACAATCACGGGCGTTGCCGACGGATGTAATAACCCTCATAATGAAACCGGTGGTACAATATTGGTCGTGACTACGACAGAGTCTTCGCTCGCGGTGACCTTCCAGTTACGGGAACACAATACATGATTTGCCGTGAATGAGTGTACGCCACTGGGGTGGTAATACCCTTGTCATTGCGCAAATATTCGAAAAGGTACATACGTTCTTATTTAGCTGCAAATTCTGCCAGTCCTCGCATATAAGGGGCTTTGAAGCAACCAGAGCGTTATGCGATTGCACATGTACATTTGAGACCAGTTTATGGTTGATCTTGGTCTAGAAAGTGAAAGGACGCGAAACGACTGAGCACGAACACATTACCCGCGAAATAATTGGGGAAGTAACCGGTTGTGTGCCCGTGAAAAGAGGGCGTTCTCGTATCCGTTGCCACAGATGCTTCACCAATTTTATACCAGGACTGCACACGTAATTATGAGCATCAAATACGTTTTCATGACCAATCTGACAAGCCTTTGGTGCACCTGAAGGGTACAATAAGCAGGATACTTGAACGCCAACGGTCAATTTTGCTCTCAGATATAGTCACGTGTTCAAACCAGTTGTTCCTAACATGGCCTTTTGGAAGATTATTTCATGCGAAATAGCAACTGAAGCTGGCAACAAGCTTTGCACTTTCGTAAAAGATCAAACAGGAAGCGCTCTACCACAGAGCCGTCTACTAGGAGTTGTGGAACACCGGCTATTCAGTCCGTATTTTCACGCCTCTGGATAATCACGAATTTTTCTCGCCAGAAACACAGCTGCAGCGGTCGATCCCCACCAAATTTCGCTGCTGTCGCTCAATAAAATGAAATGACTGGAAACTCACGGAATGTGAATAATAGCCGGCTTGCTATTGCCCTTCCCTACATTCAATGTGAAAGGCAAGCGAGAATATAGATTTCAGCGCCAGAAATTGCTAGTGGGGGAAACGCGGAAATATAACAGGCGCTGAAGAATCCAGAACAAGGTATTATGTATCTTACTGTGGCCTCGATAATGTGATCCATAATATCGAGACCAGATCGTGGTGACCACCGGCGCCAACCACTTGTCCGACATTGGTGGGTGAACAAGCTGCTGGTAAGGTCTGGCGAGCTAGATATCGTTGGCGACCTGGCGCTGGAGCTCTGACTAAGTGACCTCCCCAATGCTGTCTGCAATTCTTTCGACTGAACAAAGGGGCTTCCGGTTTGCTACTGGCGCTAGATGAAGGTCGAATCACTGAGGAGAAAACTAACTTACGTCAGCCCACCAGCGCTTCCCAACGCTTCGCAGAGACGCGCCAGTATCTGACATCCGTGTCGGAGTTTTCCACGCTGGCCCCTTCCTTCCGTCCCGGAGAATCCACCACACAAGCGGACGTCCACGACAAGCGATAGGCGACTGTGAAGGTGCTGGGCCGCTGCACCAGCCGAACCCAACGGGGGCGTCGTGGCGCGCGGATGAGGGCGACTTCCGGCACCGGTGGCAGTTCCCAAACTGCTCGCCGCGATCGATGGCAAGCATGTTAAGCCTCGCCGTCCGTCCAACGCCGGCAGCACATTTTCACTAAAAAAACACCAATGCTCCTGCGTCCTCATGGCTGCCTTGGATGCCACGCACAACCATTCGCCTTCGTCGTCTTAGAAGCGCTAGCTGTGGGGGCGACGGCGGCATGTGCCGCACCCTGGAGTTGGCCCGGTGTATTGCGAACCAAACAATGCGCATCCCACGACCTGGCCCACTGCCAGGAGGAGACGGCCCCTTCGCATGTGCTTGTCGGCGACGAGGCCTTCCAGCTCCTGTCAAAACTTATGAGGCCGTATCCCGCAACAGGGGAGGTTAGATTCAAGGACCAGACTCGAGCATGCTGCTATCGCCTCTCTGGAGCCCGCCAAATGTCGGTGAGGTCAGTGAGAGCGCTGAAGATTAGGCACCGGGATGCTATTATCACCTCTCTAGAGCCCACCGAATGTCAGTAAGAGCGTTCGGGATCATGCACGAGCTTTCTACTATCACCTCTCCGGAGCCTGCTGAATGCCAGTAAGAGCGTTCGGGATCAGGCGGGAGCATTCTACTATCGCCTCTCCGGAGCCCGCTGAATGTCAGTGAGAGCGTTCGGGATCAGGCACGAGCATTCTACTATCGCCTCTCCGGAGCCCGCCGAATGTCAGTGAGAGCTTCCGACATGCTGCTGCAGATGTCATGGCTCCACATCCACCCCCGAAATGTCAGCAACGGGCATGCGAAGATGCTGTTGATAGCCATGAACACGTTACACAACCGTAGTGTGTGAAGGATAGCACGCTCGGCCGTACTTCGCAAAATACATGTAGAAACACTTGACAACACAGGCATTATTAAAAGGATCAGCAAAGTACACCAGTCAAGTGATCGCTCATGGGGAATGGGCGTGTCGCGCAAAGGTAGAACATTTGATGGCCTGATCCTCTTCTCCACCCAGCCACTCTTGTTAGAAACGTTAAACTTACTTTAGTTAAACTGTCCGGCTCGCGTCTTGTAGCTCAGTAGCGTCCTCCGGCGGTTCTACATCGAAAGGTAAACAACGTCGAAATTGGAAGACGCTGAGGCTTTCGGTTGTAAGCTTTGGCGTAATCACGCCTTAAACGTTGCTGGGGCTCAGTTCTGTTACGATGCCACTTTAATGGTCAAAACGCAAATATTTTAACCTGCCCAAAGGTACTGGGATCCGAACCTCACCAGCCCATTGGTGGCCACGGTCATACTGGTGGATAGCGCGTTCGCGTGGGGAAAGCTAGTATTATACGGCCAATCTTGTTTTTGTGCGAGCGCGGAAATCGTGCAGCGAAATTCGATGCAGCCTCAGCCGAATCTGTACACAAGTTTTCATGATTCGGCCCAAACGGCGCCGGAACTCTGGTACTCAAGCGACACAAGCGTAATCACGAGACCTGCGGCAACCAAAAATAGCGGCTAACATGTCAGCGTTCGGCGAATGTGACGGGTAGCGCGATACGTGAGAATTAACGAACGTTACACTTTGGATTTCGGTTAAATTCTACAAGAATGGGCGGAAGACAGCCTACACCGCTCGTTCTTCAAAGGAACGAAAAGCACCGTCTCTCGTTTGACGCCGCAGGAAATCGCTGCCCCTGTTACATAGGTTTTATTTTTTCCTTCATGAGCTTCTGATTACGCCGTTTCCTGATGACATTTATCATGACGGTTTATTTGGTGATCGCCTCGATCCTCTATTTTTCAAGATTTTCGTTTTGTCATTGATCAGGCCCTCACACTCAGGGTCAGATCCGCTGAAAATAATTCTTAGTTTAAGGTAGGTAGCCGAACCCGTGAGGAACAAAATGGATTGAATTCAAATGAAAGCATTATGCATGCGTTCCGATTATTGTGTGCATCATAAATTGCACACCACTTACCATCGGTTGCCACCTAATATCTATTTGTCCGGCAGAATTATGCTTTGCGTAGACATATTGCAGATCCATGCAACAGGGACAATGCGGGATCACGCCCACCAGTCAACAAACAATGGGAGGGCCCTTCACAGCGGCCACTCGTCGGGGTCATGTCCACCAACCGCCAAGCCTTGGGACAGCCCTAGACTGTGGCCGCTCGTGGAAGTCACGCCCGCCAACCGCCAAGCACGGGGAGAGCCCTAGACAGCGGTCAGTCGTCGGGGCAGCACGCCAGTGATGCGGAACATCGCTCTCAGCGCCGCCCCGACCAATCCAATCAACCTTAAGAGGCTAACCTTTGCGCAGGGTCCCGACTTAAACAAAAGTGGTGCGAGGCCGGCCCCGGGGGAGGCCCGCTTCTGGGGCCGGAGCTGGCGGCTGCAGCGGCCGGGACGGGCGATCCGTCATGTCGGTGACGGCGGCTGGAGCGGCCGCGGCGTACGGTGTGCACCGCCGGGGCGCTCTCCCCCTCCCCGCCGCCCAGAGGCCGGCGGATGGCGGGGGTGACGGCGGCTGGGGCGGCCGCGGCGTGCGGTGTGCACCGCCGGGGCGCTCTCCCCCTCCCCGCCCCCCAGAAGCCAGCGGATGGCGGGCGGCGTCAGGCGTACCGCCGTGTCAGGACAGGCTCCTGGTACTCACCAACTCCTGGCACTCAAGCTGCACCCAAGCTGAGGCAGTACAGTTTTCATGCAGCGGTGAATGTTTCTCTTGGTCCCTATGCTCGTGAAATGCGATTTACGCATGACAGAATAGCATGACGGCTCGTGTGGCGTGGGACAAGTGAGCTGACTGTAACGCGACTTTGACATGGGAATTATAGATTAACAGCATGTGGACGATGCCAGAACCTTATATCATTCAGCCACTTACCTCACCAATGATGGAAAGTCCACCGTTCATTGGAGTTCAGAACGCAATGGCTGGCCGACGTGGCGATCTCGAGTCAGGGTTACAAATCACACTGCTCGTTAATTGACTAGCCTTTCTTCTGGCCAGGCCTCATTTTCGGCCGGGAAAATCAATGAATTAGTATTAATTGGCGAATTTGGTGATTGTGACAAAGCGTTGGGAAAGCAAAATATCTTATTTGGATATTGGTTTTAATGGACTTGAGTGGGCTTCCCTTATTTTTCAGGAGTGGCCTCGTTAGAATAAGAAATGGACCTCCTTAGGTTTTTAGGAATGGGCCTTCCAAATACTTTGGAATGGACCCATTTGGGAATTTAGGAATGAGCTCAATTAGTTTCTTAGAAATGGACCTCCTCAGTTTTTAAGGAATAAACCCCCCTGATTTCTAAGAATATGTCTCCGTGGTTGTTTAAGAATGGGTCTAGCCTATCTCAGATTGAGCCGCAGCGTACTGTATTGCAAACCGGTTATTGCAAACGCAAGAAAGGATATTGGCCTTTTGTAGGCCAATTACCGGCGCACTTATCGGTTGAACACGAATGCGATTGCCTAGAAGGGGGCGCGTTCAGCTGTATCACGCAGTTTGCTCTCTGATGTCGTACCTGCCCTGACTGCGGAGACCTGACATCAGTCTTAAAAACGTCCCAGAATGGGCGGATTTCTGGTGCGCTTTGAAGAGCGCGTCTCAGACTGATCAGACCGATGCACATTTTGGGCGATTCGATTGTCCGTCCCGTCCTCAGACAAAAATGCATTGGTCTTGCGTCCCTAACGTGGGATCGCCGAGATCTGGGCCACCGTTGTGCAGGTTTTTTTTCGCAACTCGCAAATGGTCCATTTTCCTTGTCAATTACGTAAGTAAAGATATACTTTGCTCAAACCGCAATAGTAGGAAAATCGCCTAGGTCAACCAGACTGTTTGAAAATAATCTAAATGTGTAAAGCAAAAATACCAAAGCTGCGTTCCTTGTTCCTGAAGATCTCAGAAATATGTGATTAGCTGTTGCATGCATATCGTCTAGAAAGCGTGACAGCGGCCGCCGGTCGAGCGGGGCCGCTTACGCTGGCGTTGCTTTCAGCGGTTCAGGGTTGACAGGGTTTCAGCGGTTCAGTGGTTCAGCGGTTCAGGATCAATCGGTCTGCGGCCCCGTTCGCAGTTCAGCTGCCAACGGGTGACAGAGCAGCCAGCCTTCTCGTCCGCGGCAATTCAGTCCGAGTGCCCCAGCCGCTGATTTCAGGGCACAATATAAAATGTGCCTTTTATTTTTATATTATGTATTTTATGTATTTTGTATTTTATATATTCTATTTTGTATTTTAACCGAAATGCGTACGCAAAGCAGTGCTGAGCACGATGGCACGTCGATTATTTTGTAACATACGCACTTGCCTCATACGGCTCAGCAATGGAAATCTGCTTGCCTTCCGCAGCAAAACTTTTATACCACCAAGTCCAGCAGAGAAAACAATGCTCGAGCCTCTATCCAAAAGTGCACGAAAAGTAGGCTATGAGACACCACACTATATCAGGTCGTTGTATTGTATGCTACGAGGCCGCCCTTTACTTCCAACTCGCGCACACGCCCATTCGTCCATTACAGATCACGCATGCAAAAAAGAGATTTTGCGGGCGCAAAAAATAGGTGCTTAAGTGACAGAGTGAGCATGCGCCAGAAGCATGGTTCTGCAATCAGTGCCAGAGCAGTAAGCAGGTGGTGACGAGCATGACGCTCCTCCTACCGTGTACTGCAGCCGGTCGCTCTGAACAGGGACCATCCGCTCGATGAAGTCTCGGCTGTCTCCAGAGCGATAGAGCAGATAGTACAGATCAACCAGGCTGAAATAACAGCAAATGTCAGGCGCTAATACAATGAAATAAATAACCATGGTAAGGCTGACATTCGCCCACTGACTTCCGTTGGCAGTCAGTTCGCTGCAGTGCGACTGACGCAGGCAATATTATCAGCACTTAGAAATCCTCAACCGCAACATCTTGCTTTGATTTACCCAGTTGCATAGCACAATAAAGTAGCCCGCAATTTAGGTTGATGTTTGCTGACGTCTATAACACGCGCATTGACGCCACGCGCCATGGTGCGCTCACCCATAGACGATCTCCGGTTTACGCCACTGCAGTCCCAGTGACGTGTCCGTCGGGCACGTGATGTTGGTGATGACGGGCGCCCCCGGACCGCTGACGTCAGTCCGTGCCCGCACAGGGAACGAGCGGTCGCCCTCGCCGGCCCCCGTCACCGCCTTCAGCCACACGCTGTACTCTGTGTCCGGATCTGTGGGTCGCAGTGATGCCACTGACTCAGGCGGTGTGCCCGGTCCTGTTCTTTGGATGTCATTGCCATCACAGACACACACCGCAGTCCCGGTGTGGCTGTGTAAGTCCAGAGGTAAATGGCACGAACTGGATTACCGGCCGGGCTCTTTGGGTTCAAGTGTCGTCACTAACGCGCTATTTTCCTTGTCCGGCTCTGTGGGCTGCAGTGACGTCACTGATAAATGAACTCTCTGTGCTGTTCAATAACGGTAATATGACCTCGATAACCAAACACCATTGTGTTCAACCGTGCGAAGCTGTATAGTGCCATATGGCTCTGCAGCGCAATATCAGATTAGCCGTTTTCTAGAACTGGTAATAAGCCACAATACCGCGAATCAAGCATGTTGAAAGGAGCAAGAGGTGTGTTTAATGCAGATTAAAAGTGAGCCCAATTGCACAAATGAATATTTAATGCTGTTAACGAGACACATAGCTGATTTGGACTACTACTTAATGCATAATTATGCCGAGTCCACACACCCACAGACTGTTTGAGAGCACGCAATACAAGAGTCTGCATAAGCATGCCAAGGAGCACGAGCGCCTGAACGCCCGCCATGTGTTCCTGAAGCCGTCTCCCCTCACCGAGGTTGGTGATGGTGAAGGTCCTGCGATCGCCGTCAGGCACGGCTCGGCGCATGACCTGGCCTTTGTCGGCCGTCCAGTAGGCGTTGTAGCCGCGCACCAGGCCGTTGGGCCGGCGCGGCGGCACCCAGCGCAGCACCACGCTGCGGTCCCGCACGCTGGAGAAGCTGACGTTCACGGGCCGCGACGGCACTGCCGGACAGCGCGCGGCGCGTGACGAGGCGCCACCCGACGGCCGCCCGCCGGCAGGTCGGCCCTTTCGGGGAAAACGCTCATCTGGGTGGCGTTCGTCGCGCCCGGACTTTTAAATTGCGCGCACATACTTGAGCAGGGGGGATGTCACGCGTTCACAGTGTTCGCGCGTCGCGCGCCGCGCCTGACGACTGGAGCCCCAGGCTGCGGCGCGGCACTGTTGCGGCGGACAGTGGAACACTTCATGCATTGGATCAATCCACGGATTGTGGATCAATCCGCGGACTGGATTGGACCGGATCAGATATTTTCACTAAAACATGTGTCGGATTTTGAAACTTACCAGCTCACACGGTTTTCGCGGATCAAATATAAATCAAAATGGAAATCACCACTTAACGTTCCTACAATGCTCAAAAGAGACATCAACCGAGAAAAGTATCTTAACACCATTAAAATACAGTAGTTTGAATTACAAGCAATGTACAGGCAGATTACATAATACATAACTCAGCCACATAATCCTCAAATAAATTCTCTGCTGAATAGGTCACATTGACAACTTTATATGGGTGAGTGACACTCATATATGCTGATATTGAAAACTGCTCTGTCAAATCATCACACAACTACTTTTGTAACTACTACTATAGGTTTGATCTTGCCAGCAGTCCCATTGAACCATAGTGGCTGCCATTGCATATCAGAGTTGAAAAAGTAGGCGGAAAATGTTTTGTTGGCAAATTGCACACCATAGAGCTTTGAACTGCAAGCTCGTGTTTGAGGAAATTAAAAGAAACTTATCTCCATGGAAACACTATTTTCTGTTGGCTTAGTCAGTCAGTCAAGTTTTAGTTATCACCATCTTCAAACAAGTGTGATGCTTCAGCTAATCTAATGGCAGGTGAATGTCAGAGCAAAATTGCATCCTCAATATCACTCAGTGATCTTCAAAATTGATACATCTCAGAGAATGACCATGTCGTCCTCAACAACCATGGACCAAAGACACCCTCCTCACCCAGTAGTTAGTTGCTTGATGTGAGTTAGGTAGTCTTTACATCCAGCAAAAAACTTTTATTTTAGGTAGGCAGCTATCAATTTGTGTCCTATTCATTCTGCCTCCACTCGTATTATCCATACACAAATTTGGACGTTAACAATACATTTGCGTAGCTATGACTTTTCTGTAATGGTTTAGGAGATTCAGAGCACTTTACACAGAAAAACAGGAAATTTACGTGGGTGAATATGGCACCCAATACCATCCATTCATGCCTCAAATGAAGATTTGGTGAGATTCTGAGCATCTGGTGCGATCACCACGGTCCTTCATAGCAAGTGGGCAGCATGCATATAGGATGTCAAAGCACCAGTGGTCATGACAAAAGTCGGATGACTGGCGAAATGTACGTTATTCTCTCTCATGTTTTTGAACGCGGAAGGATATTTTATTGGTATCTGTGGCGCTCACGACGCAGAAAAGACTTATCAAACTGATAAAACGCTGTCCCATAACAAATGCGAAGTGCCGTAATATTGTCGATGTATCTGGAATAATTGTTTTTCTGTATAAATGCAACTTCTTGCACCTGCACGATTTACGATTACAAATAAAATAGTTTTCGCGCTTTTTCCCACATGAACAAACAAGGGAGATCTGGCAGCATATGGCGTTTTGGCCAGGTGGCTGAAGAAATGACGCAACTCTTTCATATTCCTGCATGAAAAAGGGAAAGACGGCACCGCAGGCACCTGCCGGTGGGCAGTCGCGCGCCCTGATTGCAAGTTACACGCAGCAGGTAATCTAGCGGGAAATAATGGTCGCTGTTGAGTTCGTTTCACCAGCTGCTGTGTCCAGGAACGCATGCTCACATCATTTACCACATGTGAGGTGAGATGGTCGGTTTATTTATTCAAAAGGCGCACTAGGTGGGTGTCGTTTTGCACTTGTTAACTGGGTACCGTTGAAACTGTCGAGTGGCAGGTGCAGATATATTGCACGTAACCTGAAGTCTGGAATTTTTAGATAGTATGCTCACACCTTTAGGTTGGTGAAACGAGGGGCGAGCTTGGCCCCTAATGGTGCTCATGAATTATTGGCTTAGATAATTGTAATATTATTGAAAGCAAGGTGAGTCTTATTGCAAAATTGTATAGCCAAGAGGCAACAAGCTGTGTTTAATCTTTTGGCACCCAATCGTGTATACCAACTTATTGTACGTTTTCCCAATAGAAATTAACAAACAAATACAATTTAACGTACTCAAAAGCACTAATTTTGCTGTTCACATAATAAAAAGTCCTTTATGTTGGAGTGGATCTGCACGGAGCCATCTGAAAAACATCTGGCAATTCGAACCGGATGACGTAATGAGAAATCTGGGAAAGGCGGACTGGCAATCAAACCGAATTTGGACCAGCCTGATTGGACTGGACCGGATCCTGAAAATTAATTCCATGAAGTTCTTTAACAGACAGCTTGGGCTTGTGCAGACGGGCTGTGTGCAGGACGTGAATGAGTGTTGACAGGCAAGGCGTCCAATGACTTAGTCCTCAAGGTGTCCTCGCGTTTGGTGCCAATTTATGCTGGCTTCTTAACCGTACGTGACGCTGACATACGTTGCAGCCTTTTACACTGGTTTCTGGTTTTATCAATATGCTTTGATATTCGATCCATAATTTTTTATGAGATTATGCCTATATCCCAACTAATTGCATCCTACTTTGAGCATTTTTTAATCGCTTGCCGTGAATTTTAGCAACGGCTGATTGTCCATAGCCGATCACTGCCCCAGTGGCCAGGGACAGTCGCAATCTATCATCGGCTTTCCACGCACCATTCCTAGAGGATACAGATGCGCGCCCAGCACGGGACAGTACAGGGACATGGCCAGCATGGGGTCCGCAGAACAGGCAAGCTGCCCACAATATCCTCTCAAAAACGTTACGTTGGTGGGTGTAAGCATGACGGCAGGCTGCCAGGCTAATTTTCAAGCGTAACCATTTTTAAGGGACACACACTATTCGGGATTTTTCGATAATTATTTCCATATAATTTCGCAAACCAAACAGGCTTAGCAGCCCGAGCCAGACCACAAGTCGCGTTTGGGGGCTCTTTGCGATATAAACAGGGATGCTTGCGTTGAAGTCGCTTTCTGTGACCGATCCGACAGTCAAAGCCGGCCTTTAAGGGTACCGCTGGGCGAAATTACGTGACGTCAACACAGCTATCGCGCCGTAGGGGCCGATGCCTTACTGGCGTTGAACGAGCAGCGTCACTCCGCACTAGATTCTTCAGCAGACGAGTGGTAAAACAGTATTGTCTGCAGCAGATGGCGCAGCACTGGATCACGGTATTGCACGCGCTGAAATATTCTGCACTATGTGGTTAGATTAGGCTTATTATAATCATCTCATCATAGCGCATCACATTCATGAAAGGACTTGTCAAGCCTAAAATCGTACTCATCAGTAGTACTCATAAAATCGTACTCATCATATATATATATATATATATATATATATATATATTTGCTCCACTGGGTGACTTTTCAGTAATTAGCGCGGTCACTACGTGGAGGTATACAAAACAACACAGTTTATATCATACCAACATCTGCGACACAACCCAAGCAATCTTAAGCCAAACCTTGCATAGGGTTTGCGAACGATCGTAAGCCAGGAGACGCTCTGATCAGGCTCACTGTGCCGAGAAGCGTCGACTGATATTGAAGCCACCGATCTGACATACGCCATTGAAGGATATGCGTGGCAACGCCGACGGCACCGGCCGTTCAGTCCCAGGGTCTAGCAAAGTAGAACTCGTAAGCGCGCCGCCCACCCCGTGCGTACCCTGGATGAATGCAGCTCTGTTGAATCAGTAGCTCGAATGACTCGGGTTGATATGTCAGAGGGCAGCTCAACTCCGCCTGCGAGCGCTTTAGGGAGCAGCCACGACCGTCGAAGCCCGAGCTTCATGACCGGTTGACCGGTTGACCTTTGACCGGTTGACCGGCTGACCGGTTGACTGGTTGAAGCCCAAGCTTCATGGCCGGTCGCGATCAGCCAGCAGTGCGCTCGCTCTCGGCCATCTCACAGCACACGGAGCCGGACAAATATGCTAGGTTCTTCTGAAACCAGTGATGATTTAGAGCGCCGAAGTTGGCTGCTTTCTGTACTGCTTTCTGCTTTCTGTTCGGTATTTCGTGTGCTTCGATGCGTCCGCTTCAAACTGTGAAACAGCGCAGAAAGTGTGACCACAAGGGAGCCTGAAGTAAGAACAGCTGCCAGAAACAACGGCAGATGGTAGGGGAAAATTTGTGCGCCATTTTGCAAAGCCCAGCTACCAAGCTGTCCCAACAGCGAATAATTTGGGAGATTCGTTTGTCCCATGAAACGTGGGAATAAACAATGATGATATAGATCAGGCGAAATGCATGCCATGACCACAGGAGCAAACTGGAAACCATGTGCGCGCGGACTGTTCACCGGGCTTCATGGAAAGCTTCCAGTTTTGGCGGGTTTCTGTTCACCGGGCTTCATGAAAAGTTCCAGTTTTGGCGGGTTTTATCATAGTTCGGTTATGTATAGATCACTTAAGAGCTGGTTGAAGAGTGCGTCCCTTTTTCAGCATTCTCAGCCTTTCCAACAATGTTGGATCAGCTGGGCGCCCCAGCCTATGAAACAGGCATCATCAGCTCAGCCAGCTGCTTGCCTGTGGGAGGATGTGAGATGAGCTTAGCAGATGCTCATTTAAAAAATCAAAAGTTATATAAAAGAACAGGGACGCAAATGAGGCCTTGGAACGTTCCGGATCCTCTTTAGGTGGGAGCAGCTAACTCCAGACCCTTTCCCATATTGATTATTCTTTGAGCGATCCCCCTCCCCGCAGCTGTCTCGGTGGACTGTCTGTCTCGAAAGCGGTGCTGTTCATCAGTATACTTTGCTGGCATATGTCAACACTGGTGTCAGCACCGACCGTAGTGCTGCGCCCAGCCAGCTGTTGCAGACAGTGCCGGCGTCGGCTCGATGACAGAGGTGACCTTAAACATCAGCCACGGGGTTGACCTCACACATCGGCCACAGGGGTGACCTCTCACGTCGGCCACGGGGAGGACCTCACACATCAGCCACGGGGATGACCTCACACATCAGCCACAGGGGGTGACCTCTTACGTCGGCCACGGGGTTGACCTCACACATCAGCCACAGGAATGACCTCACACATCAGCCACGGGGATGACCTCACACATCGGCCACAGGGGTGACCTCTCACGTCGGCCACGGGGAGGACCTCACACATCGGCCACCGGGAGGACCTCACACATCGGCCACGGGGAGGACCTCACACATCGGCCACAGGGGTGACCTCACACATCGGCCACGGAGATGACCTCACACATCGGCCACAGGGAGGACCTCACACATCGGCCACGGAGATGACTTTACACATAGGCCACAGGGGTGACCTCACACATCGGCCAAAGGGATGACCTCACGCATCGGCCACAGGGATGACCTCACACATAGGCCACGGGAGTGACCTCACACATCGGCCACAGGGGTGACCTCACACATCGGCCACAGGGGTGACCTCACACATCGGCCGCAGGGGTGACCTCACGCATCGGCCACAGGGGTGACCTCACGCATCGGCCACGGGGATGACCTCACACATCAGCCACGGGAGTGACCTCACACATCGGCCACAGGGGTGACCTGACACATTGGCCGGCCGGCTGCATCTGCTGAATGGCTGTATTAGCACCTCTTCTAGGGAATGTTCAGCGACAGAACGCCCCAATTACACAAAATTCGAAGTGTATATTTTAGCATATCAATTTGCCTACAACGTACTTATTTCTGATCTATCCTCCCGTTTTACATTACTTGATTCTTACATGAAGACGAAAAACACCAACAAAGATGTGCAGTGAAATGGCCGCGATATATAATGGGGCTATGACAAAAATTTAGTACGAGACTAAAACAGTTGCGAGGACGGGGAAATACTTGTTCAATGGGAAAGGGAATACATGCGCGTGTGGTGCACTTCAACCCGCACATGATACGACAACCTTCGCCCTGGTGGGGGAATGAGACCACCGCCCCCTGAGATTTGCGGAGAACATCTCTCCGGCATGTCGTTCAATCGCACTCAGATCCTGGTAGCCTCTAAGACATTCATTGAACGTGTTCTGACACTATAAACGTTTCCCTAAGGTTTCTGTTTTCTGTGAAATAACGGCCCTTTTGGAGCACTGCACGGCGATCCTCGGCCGGTGCGGACGACGGGTGGCAACCGACGATTCCGCGGGCTATGCAGGGCGGGCCAACACCGTTCCATCAACGGAGCCCTAGGTCACAGATGTATGCTCACAAACTTTGAACTACATTCGTTACATATATAGTTGAACAAGGCATACACCTGTTTGGTTTCGTGTCGCTACGTATTATTGTCTTTTACGTATGAACTTGTAATGCGGACAAAATTTGATTTTAAGAAAAATTCGCCCCTTGGCCTGACATTGTGGCGTACATTTCAATCAGCAACATAGCGGTTTTTACCAATCGCAAGATCTCGTTGAGATCAATCCACTGCTGTTTCCGATACGCTCTATCTTTCTTAGCTTGGAAACTGCAGGTTGGGGTCGTCTCCCCATCTCTATCAATCCACGTTATGAAAAACGCCCAATTAGGGCGATGGTTACAAAGGACCTGGGTTGTAGATTTGGTTGCAGAAAATGGGGCTAAAACGTGCCGAGAGGGCGCGGCTATGGCGTCCCCGCTCGCGTAGACCACACTCCCAGCGCGCGTTATGCTGCCCCGGCATGCGACAGAGCACTGCGGAACAGTCTACATTCCCGGTTCGTCGACGACCGGAGCAGGCCGTAGGCATAGCACGCTGGCTCGCGTATAATCACGGGATTTTTCCTTTTTCTAGCGAGCGCAGCATTTTCCGACCTGGCTCCCTGCCCCGCCATCGGTGATAGCACCAGGAAGGGGTGGGAAGTGGACTTGTTCAAGAGCAGTCCTGGGATTTAACATTAAACCTCCGGATTTTCTTACATCGTTTCTGTGAGAAAGCAAGAAGAAAAATGAGTGGTCAATCACACATAATTCTCTCCGACAACGACCGGATCATCTGTACCGAGCGCCGTTCGGAACAGTTTCCCCACATTCTGGACAATCATACCCGATTACTGTTCGTCCGGCTGCTAAGCCTCGGAGTCCGACTGGCGGAGCGCCGGCGGCTGCAGGCTGACGGATGGCCTGTGCAATGCTGCCGGGCTCAGGAGCCGAGCGGCGGCGGCGGCCGCGCTCAGTCCAGCCGGCTCACCCGGCTCAGCGGCGCCCGGGACTGCTCTGCTCGCTCAGGGTCTGCTCCTTACCGCCCTCGCCCGTGGTGGCGGTGATGGTGGCTGGCGGTCCCAGGTCCTGCGGATTCTTCACCTGTAGAGTGATCTCGTACCTCGTGTACGGCTCCAGGTCCTCGATGAAGTAGCTCTGTTGGGCAGAACAGGCTACTGCCATTGCGGGCCAGCATACCACATACGTGGATAGCAACAATGCGAAATGAGAAATCAAATTTGACATACGTCTGCACGTCAACCCACAGTTGGGGGAGCTTCATGGAAAAGACATTCTAACTGACACCGAGATGGATTTTTTTGTGTTTAACTGTAGAGGCGATCTTGTCAGTTGCGAATTAGCTGTATTGGATCTGGAATGTTTCAAGAATTAACTAACTAATTTAGTTTGATCTCCTAATTGGTCGGTAGGGCGGGGCAAGAAGCATGTTGAAGGCTCTCAGTGAAAAAGCCGGCCCCGAGAGATATTCCCCACGTACCGCATGCCCCCCCCCCCCCCCAAATGGGCGCAAATAAGCAAGGCAGCTGACGTGTCCTTACAACTCGGTAGCCAACAGTTATGGCCCCACCGTTTAAGGGAAATCCAAATGTGTCGTCCTGGTATTTAGCATTGAGGGGGCTGTGATTGGACAGTAAGAGGAGCCCCTAATTACTTAGAACAGGAAACCGCTTGGGTAGAGCCGTGGAGGGCTCGGGGCGGATCGTCAATCATTCCTCTCCCGGTCGGGGAATTAGGGGCACCTTTATTCCAGCCCAGAGTACCTACTGGTTATCATTCTGAAAACACTGGAGTATGGGACCCGGGTCGGTACTGAAATCATCAGAGGGACGCATCACTCATCGGTCTCGTCCTCGACGCAGAAAGGCCCCTCACCGGAGTACTTGATCCCAGGTCGCCAAAGGGCCGCACTGGCCCAGACGAATCTTTCACCAGAGCATGCGGTTCAGTTATTAGCGTTATTTATTATTGGCCTTCCGGCCTAGGTCCTCTAATACGACCTCCGAGCAGCCCTTCGGACCATCTAATCGCGCCCTTGATCGCATTTCGGGCAGGGATACTCGCAAAGTCCATTGCTGTCAACCCCAGCAAGTCTGCCACGTCGGGCCGACGCCAACAGCTTTGGCACATTCGACTCGCACGGTCAGTCCACTCCATTCGACGTCGGATGTCTTCGCGACATACCCCCACAAAGCAGTAAGGCCCCACTCGGCACCCATCGACCCGAATCACAGATGCATCTGACAAAGTTTTGCAACGGGTGAGCAGGTCTGGCCGCCGGCGCGAAACTTCTACGATTTGCTGCCTCTTCGGATCTTTTATCACAGCAGGGGGTAATTGAAATCTCACTGCGGCGCCTCCTGAGAGTATAAGTTAGCAAACATGGCAGACCATAGGAAAGTTGGCCCATTCGGTGCAGCATGTGGCTCTTACTCCGTGTGTTCAATTGACCTTGACCTCCCTGAAGTACGACCATCAATTTTGGGTATCGCCTTTGGTAATAGTCATCCCTCACGGCCCCTATACCACAGCCTCGCCGGTCTGAGAGATATCCAGCTATCCTTTGTTCCAGGATTCTGACGCTAATTAACCCAGTGGAATGTCGACTTGTCATGTTCATGATGATGAGCTGCGTTTGTGCCTACACCTTAAGTGTTAAGAATCAGGCAACAGCCTAAATATATGCATGATCGATCTTGGAAGAGAAAAAAGAAGTTTATGAAAAGATGAACACGAGGTTCCGGCTCCTTTCTATAGCTCTAATTGCTTTAATGGCCTAACTCACCTTGCTAATTACCATTTCTGTTGAAACAAGCGTAATTCCAGTCACACACAAAGGTCATGGCAGCATAACTATCATATGTGCTTCAGAACTATTACGGGATACCGTTGTCCTCAGCCACATACACGTCGAGGTGCTAAAACAGAATGGGGTCCCGCAAAAGATTCATGATACATCTCCGCCTCAGCTTTCATCGCAGGCCATGGTCATCTGCCGACAAATCATGTTTGCCATACAGTAAAAGGCACCGTTCCGCAGCCCGTCAACGGCTGGAACGCCGCACCTCCGCCACCTGTATCGAAGCTTCCGGATTGGATTGGTTGTCCGCTGAGCAATCACGCTTTCAGCGATCAACTCCAGACAAGCTTCGGCGGGGGCCGCGGTGCAGCACGTGCGAGGGCGGCGCGACCCGCACCGCCACTCATCCCAGCACGGTCGGCGGCCAATATCCAGAGTGGCCGGCGGCGGACGGCTCGTTCGGCCGCCTTTACGACAGGTGCCGGGCCGGTGGCGCGCGGCGGGGACACACGAGGGCCGCGGCGACCGGGCGCCGGACCCGATGCGCCGCTAACACTCCGGAATTAGTGCCATCACCGCGATGTCATCCCATGCAGAATCGCCGTAGTTTGACACTTACGGCGGCTGTCATCCAACTTTCGCACATCTTAGGGCCGGCCGGACAGCTCGATAGCCCCAGCAGGCCGGCTTTCCGGCGGAATGACTGCCACTGCCGAGGAGTTCCAGCCGACTTTGATTTAATGACGTATTATGTAAGTGAATGAAATGCACTCAATGACATTAATTGATGCTGTTTAACGGCTGATGCTGCTTGTTACGGCAGCCATTTTTCAGCGGGTTGTCTATTTTTCAGTCGGGAACGAGGGAACGAGACTCTCGTGACGAGAAGCCTCGTGTAAGTGATGCTATCGACTCTTGAACAGAAGTCCCTTTGACACCTCGTCTATCTATATCACTTTAGCTTGATTGTGTGGCAGGACGCAGCCCGAAAAATTCACACCACGCTGTTGAGGCGAGTGAAAATTTACGACCGTCATTGTAAATGCAATAGGCCTTAAGTGTTCCCTCCCGCAATGTGCGGAAACGATAAAATGTTTAGGACAGAGGTTGACTAATAACGATGTTCAACAGCCATTTCGATCTCTAAAAATGTGAACCTTGAGGCAGAGTTAACTCAAGTGCTCCATGACATCAATTCGTCTCACATGCCTTGAACAGCTGCAGACGGAACGTTGCGTGCCGGACAGACGCTACATCGCGAACAGACATCGCGAACATCGCGAATGCACGCGCGGTTGGCGCCCTGAGCCGCGTACCGCGGTCTGACCCGTCCGGCAGCAGACCTGCGGCTGGTGCTGCTGACCACTCCAGCCTGTCGTGAATAGGGTGTGCGTGTGGGGAGCGGAGGGGAGGGGAGGGGAGCACCCGGTTAGGACAGACATGTACCTGAAGGGCGCTGACAGCCGGCTGTAGCTGGGGGGAAGGGGGGGGAGCGACCTCACCCGGTCCGACACGTCGTGCAGCTGGACACTGCAGGCCAGAACCTGCTGCGGTGGTGGAAGGGGGGAAAGGTGGCCTTACCCGGTCCGACACGTCGTGCAGCTGGACGCTGCTGGCCGGTCCCGACCGGCGGCCTGGCTCGGCCCGCCGGTACGTCAGGTGGTAGCCGGTGAACTCCCCGTGCAGCGTGTGGTCGGCCGGGGGCCGCCAGCCCACCTCTATAGAGGTGGACGACCGGTTCCGGGCATATGTCAGCTTCGGTGGCGCCCCGGGACCTGCGGCGGGAGACAGCAGGTGGCGCACTCATGCTGCGGTGGTGAGGTAGTGAGGTCTCAATAGCGTAACCTCCATGGCGCTGTCATCGTGTGGTGAGAATTAGCGTTTGAACATACGGACATCAGCGCAAAAGATATCACGGTCTTTTAGACCACCATTTAGAAGGCTGCAATGTCTTGCAGTCACGCAAGGACACACACAACGAGATATGTTCTCGAATCCTGATTTACGCCCTGGCGACGTCATGAGTTTAAAAGTCAAACAAGAAATTGTTTTTTTGCTCGCGCGTAGCTTCTGTTGCATTTCCTTATCGTGCAAACCGGATAGACGAGTCCATGCTAGGCTAGCGCTAGCCGCTGACTTCCCACGACCATTGAAGAGACATATCCTACGTGTATTGACAGAACAGGGGACATTGCTGCGTACGCCGCAACCCACAACGTTCTCGAACGCCCAACTTACGCCCTCAGAGGATGGTGACTTACACCCTCTGAGGGAGCGATTGAGGCTCTCTGAGGGTGCTGACTTACGCTCTCGGAGTGTGCTGACTGGATACGAGGCGTCGCTGGGCCGGCTGTAGCCCATGTCGTTGGCGGCCACCACGCGGAAGGTGTAGACGGTAAACGGTGTGAGGTCGGCGACCGTGGCGTTGGTCTGGCTGCCGGCAGTGCGGTGGCCCGCCTCGACCGCAGGCCACGTGCCCGTATCGCCGTACCTGACGACGGAGCGCGCGCGTCAGCCGACAATGTCAACACCGACGGCCGCATCGCCGGTATCAGTGCCACTTGCTGGCAGCGTTGGACTTCGATGGATGTCCACTTCTCGCGGTCAGAACCAGCTTAGATGTATGTTTTATCAGCTCAGATGAATCGGTCCAAATTAACTGTTCAAATTACTCGTGTTCAATCTATGTCTGCAAGCTCTGCCCTTTCGTGCAGCACAAAACTTCTAATTAAGCTGTCGAGCATAGACAGCGAAGACTGAAATACGAGCGTCGCTTTTTGGTGGTCGTGATTTAGCCCTGCCGCCTCCGGCTTACGGTGTCCAGATCCGGTACAACCAGACACCGCTGCGCCTACCGCCGATACCGCTCTGCCACCGATGATGACTGTGTCCGCTAGCATGGTCGCCTGTTTACCGCCGCTCGGAGTCGTCTGATCGTGCCAGAATGGCGGCATGATTTGCGGAGCGCCCGGCGCCTGGCAGTGGACGGGCACGAGCGCTGGTACGGCGGGCACGCCCGGAGTCTACTGCCTTCGGTCGCCACGGTGCGCGGCCGACGCGACAGCGGCCCCTTCGGACGCGTCGGCGACGGCCGCACGCGCGCCTGACGCACGTGCCGGCCGCCGGACGGGCGACCGGGCCTGCAGGCGGCACACCTCAAAAGCAAACACGCCATTCGAAGCCGCGGGCGTGGCACAAGGTGTACGGCCCCACGGCGCGAATAGCGCACGAGCCAGGCCTGGGAGCGGGCCGGCTGGCGCCCGGCGCTGCTGCGCAGGCCGGTGCGGCACCACTCGCATGCCGGCCGGCCATCAGCCGTGGCCCGGCCCGGCCACCGTCGCCCCGTCCCCCAGCCAGGCCGGTCGCCTCGGGGCAAATCGCTCGCTGCTCCGGCGTGAGAAGTCATCCTCGAGCGAGACGAACGGTGCGTTATAGTTTGTGATAGACTCGTGGTCGTGGTCCAGTGGCCGGTTTTCTCCCTCTCTCGCTCTGCGTGTAGCCAAGTTTGCAGCAAAGTTTTCAATTGATTGCGAAGTAGCCTTGAGACCAGACTTGTTACAGCTAAATTAAAGCTACCGTGGTCAAACGTGCAATGAATTTAAAAGATTCTATTAGTGCGAGAGTGCTTTAGAAACAAGCCGCAAGTCAATGCTGGCCAAAAACACGGAGATAATGAAAGAAAAGTCCTCTCAGACCCTCAGTAGATGAATGACAGTACAAATCAAGCTCGGAATTCAGTGAGCAGCCATATTTCCGAGTCCTCAAGTATATCTGAGCGTTTTGGGCAAGAAGTGTCATCTGTAGATATCTGGGTAGGTCTGCTCCTTGTCATGTATATGGGCATCTACGTTTCTCATAAAGTGTATGGTTGCATCTATTTCACAACATTCCGGTAGTCTGTCAGTCTGAAAATGCTCCCGTCCTGATGACGGCACGTGCCCAGCGGAGCGACCACAGTGCCCGACACCGCCCGTTACTCGCAAAGTTAGCCACACGGCGCGTGGCAAACGTCGTGTCCTGGCCGAATATGTAAACGGCGCCGGCCATATTTCCAGCGATATTGCCAGCGGGCGGTATGGATTCGACAGCGGCAACTGTATACCCGTCCAGGTGTGTAATGCGATGACTATAATTGGGCAGTTCCAATATTGCCGGGCGTTATTCGACGAAACAGAAACTGCACGCTCCGCGAGAATGGAAGCTAAACAAGAGAAGTGCAATTAAGGGGTAAATAATGATCCCATTACGAACAATCAGCGGCCCATATAGGGACGACAAATCAGACACGTGACATTAAACAAGCTCCGCGCAGAGCGTACCATGATAGTGGACATACTCCAAATGTATGAAAGTCGTCACGCAAGAAACAGGGCCCTGATTACAGTGAGGGCACACTCTGTAACAGGCTAAGGGAGCTGACTTTTCAGGCATTAATCTGACACCTTCGGGAGTATTCCATCAGCCCCGATCGCTTGGCGGCGTCACTTCTAACACCCTTGCAGCCCGAGGGTCCAAGCGTCGTATTGGAAATATTCTAATAGCAATCGATAGATCGGGTCTGTCCCGCATAGGACATTTTTCTTTGGCGTCTTTCGCGCGACTAGTACACTCAAATTGTCACGCCAAATTATCCTAAACATTGCCGAATGCTTCGAACGATTTTGAAGTTCCTTTTTACTCGCAATAGCGTTCTCAAGCTTTCCAACTAGCATTAAGCAAACAAGTGTTTCAATGCATGCAATTATCATACCGTCATGAAATAACGTTAGTGTCAGGCCAGGCCCGATTAACACGCGCCCGGGTGGCAGCCTAAATATGCTGCGCTCGGATGGGGGGGGGGGGGATCAATTTGACCCCAGCTGAGATCTCGTGAACTAAGAAAACTAGAGACACCAAATTTACAGGGTGTATTGACCTGTACGTGAATTCCCTGAGGTCAAAGTCTCAGGTTCCTAGATTATGACCATTAGGTCAAAAAAGGTCAAACAATTTGAAGTTCCAGGCTGGTCTCCAAAGTGCCCCCCAGAACCTAGATAACGTTTCTAAGCAAAATTTCACATTTCCATTGAAGGTCAGTGACCTTGTTTGACCTTTTGAAGGTCAAGGTGACCAAAATCATACAAGATTGCTTTGGGTTTTGCATTTGACTAAGCGACAAAGATTACGCCAGGCAGTATGTTTCTAAAACAAAATGTTGACCTGGGTCATGTTAGGTTAATGACTTATTCCGACGTCTAAGAAGTCCATGGAAGATGTATAATGCGCTCCTGCTATCAATGAACTCGAAATCAGTACTAGAAACTATCCCATACAGCAAGCCCTAGAGTAACAAAACAAGTCGGTTTTGACCTTGGTGTGAACTTCATACATGACCTTAGGTCAATGCAATTTACTCATTCAACTGCTGTGTTGTCTAAGAAAGCACCTCAGGGATGTATGGCTTCATCTAGCACTCCGTTGTTGGATCAGATGGAAGGATCCCCTAGAAATTGCCGTCGCTGAAACCATGGTCTGATTTTGGCCTGCCATAGATCAGCGACCTTACAATCTAAATACATCTAATTTCGTGATGCCAAACGATCATCCATTTAATTGTCTACACCTATGCAAAGTTTGGCGTGGCTACGCCGCACCGTTCGGAAAACATTCTAAAAAAACCTTCGGGGGGTCAATTTGACCCCCATCCGAGCGCGTGTTAACGTTCAAGTAAGGTCCAGATCAAGGCAGGTCAAGATCTGATCAGCTCACTAATTTTTGTTTGGCTGTTTTGGGTCATACGGCTTAGAGCATCCATTGCATTGTAAATCGTCTTAATCACATCGGGCTATCTACAAGAAATAAGCTACTAAAATGCCTTTGGTTTGACGATTGTAGCTTGGACCCACACGCTGATAATGATGTAGTGTTGTCTAACAAAGTATGGCTGGCCATAACTGACATTCGGTGAAACCAGTCCATGAATGGCATAAAAACAGGGGAACACGAAATAAAGCCGAAGATCACTGCGTGTAGATGCAAAAACACCCACACAGGCCTTCCAAGCTCATCGAAAAATAGTACAGTAACGTGCAAAGCAAAAGCATGTTGATTTTTATAGAACGAACCAAACTCCGCACCCAAAAACTACAGTTTGGTATTTATGTCTGCAACAGTTCAGAACTTGTTCCAAAAAATCAAAGGGTGCCTTTTTCTAAGTTATTGTGGGTTAAAAAACGAGGATGTAAGGGCATGATACTGGTTCTCGTGTCATGCTAGTTGAATGACGTGTCTGGTTTTATACCTTGCACCCCAGTTCCTTTGTCTTACTGCATCACAGCAATCCGCAGAACACGTTGACAGTAGCTGAAGACGAACGCAACGCCCAAAAGAGCCGCTTGAACCATGAGCACTCACTCATATTCAAACATGCATAGACCTGTGTTCGTAGATGCGACCATTTCTGCCACGTTTTGCCATGACAGTTGATATCGCCGTAAGCCTAGGCTGCACTCGTAGTAGAAAATATGAAAATAAACCAGCGAGCGCTGGAAAAGCAGTCATCAGCATCGGTGACAAAACACAGTTGCATTTCGAACACCCGGTCTCTGCAGTACTGCAGCTCACGGAGGTTAGTTACCACAAACGATACACAAAACTGCTTCGTCTTTCAACACTGTTCCGATCCCTCACTACATGACGGTGCTACTCTATGAAATAAGACGCGAAGATAACGCCGTACAACGACGAAGTAGGCCCAGTGTGCCTGCCGGATGTAGTTTATCGAATGCTGTTTGACTATTAAAGGCCTGCTTTGACCTAGCTTAAAAACATTGACCGATACTTGATGCAGTGTAAAGGGTGCTGTCCTGCGACATTTACCGTGCCGAGCACGCTCATCGGCGTCGCGGGATGACGCCTATGTGCTGAGGGCTTGACCCATATTGCACAAATCACAGCAAAAGAGGCCTATGTGGCCCATCGGGCGGCAAACCCAGAACAGCATCGGTGCCAGAAATTTTCCAGCCGAGCGTAGGGTATCATCCCAACACCAGCGCACACGATATAATGACAAACATCACTGGTCAAGAAGTATGAACAATGGCCCAGGTCGCCATGCATTCCTGAATAGCCCCGCCCCTTCTGTAGTGAACAAAGATACACTAGTTGGCACACGCACCATTCACAAAAACCTGCTAAAAATGTTTCAATCGAATGCAAATGAGCCTAGTTACATCCCTTTGCGCAAGATTTACTTACTACAGTCGCGTGCGCAACAGAGCTTTGTGAAACTGACACAATCCTAAATTGCCGTCATTAGTATCTCGCTCTCCCTTTTATGCGAGTACTTATCCATATTCGAGACGTTTGAAACAGATTTGTGCCAGCTTTAAGTCACTGCCACGACCACCAAGAGTCATGCGACATATGATAGCTGTTCAGGCGTCACACCATCCGATGGTGAATCTGATAAATGTGCATGAAGCTGGGCATCAGCAGTCTGGGTGACTTTCA